AACTGCCTGTCACAGCTATTGTGGATTTTACATTTCATCGAGTGGTTAAGCACTTTATTAATCGAGTAGCGAAAGGTAATAAATGGGAGCAATTGGGACAACGATGGGCCGAATTTCCATTGAAGAAGTTCAAATTATGGGAGGAACATTCGACGACACATTACATGAGAAGGTTCAACACTCGCAACTACGCTGGTGAGGTATTCACCAGGGCAAAACCTCAAGGAGGTGGAGGAAAAACACATTGTGTCGATCTTAGGGCCAAAGAATGCTCGTGTAATAAGTGGACCTTGTTTGGGATTCCTTGTTCTCATGTGCAACATGTATGTCGTGATTTCCGTTTGGATGCCGAAACTTTGGTTGCCGAGTACTACAGTGTTAGAAACCATAAGAACACATATAGTGGCGTGTTTCACCCTTTGCTGCCTGAAATGTGCTGGGAGGATGCAGATTTTGAGCTATTTCACGATGTTACCCTACGGAAAGCTACACGACGGGGTAGGCCAGAAAGTTCTCGTATTCGTAACGAAATGGACCGACCACAAGCGCGTGCTAGAAGAAAATCTCGGGCAACACAAGAATCACACTAGTTATTTTATGTGTTATCTTATGTTATGTTAGGTTATGTTATGTTATGTTGTGTTTGTTAGTTTATGTTATGTTATGTTATGTTATGTTATGTAATGTTTGACTTGAAAATTCGGTTTCGCTTTCGCTTTCAAATGGTTACGAATAATAATAATAATAATAATAATAATAATAATAATAATAATAATAATAATAATAATAATAATAATAATAATAATAATAATAATAATAATAATAATAATAATAATAATAATAATAATAATAATAATAATAATAATAATAATAATAATAATAATAATAATAATAATAATAATAATAATAATAATAATATTAATAATAATAATAATAATAATAATAATAATAATAATAATAATAATAATAATAATAATAATAATAATAATAATAATAATAATAATAATAATAATAATAATAATAATAATAATAATAATAATAATAATAATAATAATAATAATAATAATAATAATAATAATAATAATAATAATAATAATAATCTTATGTGCTTTCACATGAACTTGAAACAGGATTGAAATGGAAAACGCTGTATACGGTCCCCGAGATCCCTCACTTCTGTATCTTCAGAATGATCATAGATCAAGTGCTTTGACAGATTCTAATATGGATACGAGCATACGAGTTAGACGAAGTGATCATGGGATATGGAGTGTCTTTCATAGGCCGCACAACCCTCATCCTCATCCTCGGGTGTTATCTTATTTGGTCCAGATGAAGTTATATGGTGTATATCGATGTCGTCGTATGCAAGCAGATTGGGCACTTATCACTGCATTAGTAGAGAGATGGCGCCAGGAGACTCACACATTTCACTTGCGTGTAGGGGAGGTGACAGTCACCCTACAGGACGTGGCGTTGATATACGGACTACCGGTTGACGGACGTCCGGTCATAGGAGTTGATACTCATCGTAGGACTCGTGAGTGGCAGCAGTATTGTATGACATGGCTGGGATTTGCACCGGATTCATCAAAGATAAAAGGATCGAAGTTGAGCGTCAAAGCCCTTAGTGAATATTTAATCAATAATCCCGTTCTTGATAGTAGTACATATGAGCATCTTGTTCATTACACTCGAGGGATTGCTTTTCTCATAGTAGGGGGGATTATGTGTCCCGATCACACTGGCGACTCTATTCCGTTGCTGTATTTGAGACATTTAGAAGATCTTGATGCTGTCAGTTCATATAGTTGGGGTAGTTGTACTCTAGCAGTCCTCTACCACGAGTTGTGCAAAGCATCGAAGATATCTGCAAAAGAAATCAGTGGTCCTGTTCAATTATTACAGGTAACATATGAATTACTTATATAATTTAGTACATTAATACATTTAATTTGCAGTTTATATTTTAAAAAAATTATATTCTTGTATTATTTAACAGATATGGGCATGGATGCGGATTCCTCCATCAAGGCCCATACCTACTCTGGCGAAATGGGGCACAACACTTGAGTATGCAGGATATGAGTTTCCGGTACCACCTTACGGTGCACGGTAATGGTTTTGAGATTTATGTTAAATTATTTTTGCATTATTGTTACGGTGATTTTTTGAGCCAACTTCCACTATATTTTTCTAACATTTTCAGTCAATTTTACTTGAAAAAATTTGATATTTTTTTTCTTTTTTTCTTCAAAACATTTAATTACTTAGATTTTTTTTAAAATTTTCTAAATAAAACCTTTTATTTTTGTCATTTTGAATTTCTTTATTTTTTTCTTAAATGTCTTTCGGCATTTCAAATTCTCAACAACAATATGATTTTGAACCTTATCTTTATTATTATCTTAAGTTTTAATATATAATAATATAATAATATATCACAGGTGGACCAACCATGTCAGCTTCATTGAGACTGGTGCACATGTTCTTCGTATTTTTAGGATGATGTTGGATCAGATGCTCCCAGATCAGTTTATATGGATGCCATATGATCTGGATGATCCGGAGTATCAGGCTGTAGCTGGTGATTCGGCGATCGCATGTTCAGGTATATGGGTATCCAGAGTCCCCTTGATATGCTACGCAATTGTGGAGATGCATCGACCAGACAGAATAGTACGTCAGTTCGGGATGGTACAACCCATACCTGAACCTCCTGAAAATACTGAGACGGATTTCCGGATGCACGTCAATGCTAACCGTACAGGTGCTACCAACCGAGACTGGAGGCTTACACATGTTTCGCATGTTACCGCTTGGGATAATAGACTCGATTATATTATTGATTATCCATATGCCAGTGACAGTCAGACTACAGAAGATGGTTATTTTGAATGGTATGAACTGCACACACGTCGTTTCATATCACCGATTACCCCATCTGATCGTACAGGATTTCAGGTTGGAGGTCAGATTTCAATGGATACAGTGGTACGTATTCAAATTTATTTATTATAAAATTTTGTGTATTATATAATTTTTATTAATGTATGTCTTCTAAAAATAAAATATTTCTTATTACTTATTTCAGATTCAGCATCTTCGATCGTTGATTGTTTCTGTTGATGGCGGAGACATACCCCGGGATGGCTATCGTTCGTATTTACCAACTCTCAGAACATGTCTTAATGTCTTAGAGTCTCGACACGGACCTTCAGATAGGCCTCAATCTGAGATGCCTTATACTCAGACTCACGCTCAGACTCAGACTCAGATACCACTGTCTCAAATGCCTCAGTCACAGACTCAGATGTACGCTGGCGAGGCAGGAACTTCTTCTCGTGCATATTGTCCGGCATTCGATAACTATACAGATCCTAGATCACACGGGCATCCATCTGGTATGTTTAGTACCTTTGATTTTATTTTTAATACTATCTACAACTGTGAGTTTAATTATAATCTCTTTGATGCAGATCAGTACACCCCATACCCCTACTTTAATCCGAATATGAATTCGGAGGACCCAATTCATTTGGGGTCTACGCATCAGTTTTCGTCTTCGCGACCGGTAGATCATCAGATCACACCTATTCCTTATTCTCAATCCGCAAATTCTTCGAGTGATGAGGATGAACAAGTTGGTAGAGGGCACAGGACTAGAAGGCCCCCGAGATGTGGCACCGGAGGTCACCGTCATTGGTGATATTATTATTGTAGTTTATGTTGGTTATTTATTGAAACTTTTTCGTATTTTAGTTATTCAATAAAAAACAAATTAAATAAACTAAAGGATTTAGAGACAAAAAATATTTCCCAATAATTAGGCATTTTATTTTTATTTAATAAAATATGGAAATCGGACGGAATGGATCGGAAATGCCTTTTTTGGAATTTTTTCAATTTTTTCGGAAGTTAAAAATAGGTTCCAATTTCCGTTCCAAAAAAATCGGAATTTCAAAATCCATTCCAATTTCGGAATACCTCGGAATCGGCGGAATTTCGGAAATTGCATTAATTCTTAATATTTTGTTCCAAAATCGGAAATAATGGTAATTTTGAGTATTGTTTTTTAATATTTTTGTAATTTTCCGGCAAAAGGCAAGAATCCAAAGCAAAGTTCAATCAAATAAAATTTAAACATGATTATTTCAAACATGATTGATTTAAACATAATTAAACATAATTGATTTATCAAAGCAACATGATTATTTCAAACATATATATATATATATTTCCAACATAATTCAAACATGATTATTTCAGAAATACAATCGGATCGAAAATTATAATTTCCAATAATTTTATATGTAATTCCAATTCCGTTCCAAAAATAATCGAAAAAATCAAAAATCGGAATATCGGAAATTGGAATGAAAAAAAATGTTCCAAATTTGTATTATTTTATAGTGAATTATAAAATAAATTGCATAAATAAATGAAGGAAAATTTATTTATTATACTATATATAATTAATTTATAATTAAAATTCAATTAAGTATTCCAATTTAACAATAAAAAGAATTAAGTAAATTTAAAAAGCCTTAGCTCAAATCCAGCCGTTGATATAAACACAATCAAACGGCTGGTAAAAGGCGTCATATTAAATGACGCTGTAATCCAGTGTGGCGCATCAAAGGGCGTCGTTTTAAACGACGCCTTTTAGCGGCCGTCCGATTGCCCAGATTAATCTCTGGCCGTCAGATTAGGAGAACAAGATAGGAGATCTGGCCGTCAATCTCAGCTCAATCCAACGGCCCTTAAAACGCGTCGTTTTAAACGACGCTTTATTGTATTTTTGTAAATAATTACAAAATGACCCCAATTCTCAAAAAAAATACCCGAAATATTGTAAAAAAAAAAATGGCCCCCCAAGTCCCCAACCAACTCCCCCAATTTCCATCGCAATGATTATAAGTGAGACGGAACGTTTTCTCTCTCTCTCTCTCTCTCTCTCTCTTTATCTCTTTCTCTTCTTCTATTTTATTATTTTATTTTATTTTATTTAATATTTTATGAGTGCAGTGATTCGTTCGGGGAGTGCATCCAATCAAGCACAGATCAACGCGTCGGCCCACCCGAGCCTTAGCTCCGGTCCGAACCAAACCTCCACTCTCGTAGTTCGTTGAAAATTTCGCACACTTATCTTTCTCACACACACACACACACAGCACAATTCATCACCAGTTTTCCCTCTATAACTCCCCGCTTCTCGCCTCGCCCATTCAAAACCCTAGAATAGAAAATCCACCTGTATTTGAAGATCGATATTCATCTCCATTCTTCTGCAATTACACAAGCCCTAATTTTGCGTAAGTCTTCCCCCTTTATTTTTTTTAATCTCATCGTGAAACCTCTGTATTTATGTAATGTGTGTTGAATGGAGTGTTGGGCAGGGTGTATTTGCCTGATGCTATGCGCTGTCACCATGAATTTGGGGTTGGGTTTTAGGGGTCTTATTTCAGCTGTTTTTTGGCACTGGTTCAATTATTGAGGCAGTCTGTGGTTTTTTGTATTAAGATGCCGAATTGAATATTTTGTGATCTTGTTTCTTAAATGTGGAAGATACAGTGTTTTTGGGTTGGGGTGTACTCGTTTTTGGCACAGTTTTGATCTTCTTTTTGCAGTTGTTTACTTGATTTTGTGAGGTGTAGGGATGGTTTATTTTGTTGTTAGCCAATAGGATGGAATGCAATTTTGTATGCAAGGAGGTGGTTACAGAGTTTAGGCAGAGCTTTATTGGGAATGTCCAACCATTACTTTGGTTTTTTGTGGTTTCTTGCTAGTGTGAATGCGTGCTTCGGAAACTCCAATTGTTTAATCTATGATTGTTTTCGCTTGGCATTAAGATGGTAATATTCCCTAGCCAATCAATGAGGAATTCTTATGAAGCTAAGAGCCTTTGGTTCGAAAAATGAAGATCTTTTCCTTTTCAATTGGTGAAGCAAGAAAAATATGTCATTTCCCATCCACAATGAAATTCGCAAGAATGGATTTTTAATATATCGAACTAAATGGCCAGTCCATAACTGGGTAATAACTAATATGGTACTTTACAACTTAATTAAGAAGCTATTTATCTAGGTAGATTCGCATCATTCTGTAGTAAAAAGAACTGCTGTCCTATAAGGCTGAAGAGATAGAAACAGCTCTCTCAATCTCCGTTAGGGAATTTGGGCTAGTTTTTACATATGAACATAATCACTTTTGGTGACGCTTGATAAAAGCATAACATGCAGATAAATGAGTGATAGCAATGATTTGAGAAGCACTTAAATCTTTGTTGTCCCTAGGATAATGCTCTTTGTCGTAAGATGTAGTGACTAGTAAAGATGGAAAACTCAGACTAATCATATCCCACTGTATGTTTTTTCTTCTTTGTTGCTATTCAACAACATTGTAGTTCCTGTCAATACATCAATAACGATTAGTATCTTTAAACAGTCTTAGATTTAGCCTTTCCATGGCTTCCCATAGTTTTCTATAGTACTTAAGGAATGTTCAGATACCACTTGTTAGGGTTTCTTAGATCACTGAACACCACTGTTGGTGAACTGATGATTTACCTCTTCTTTTTACTCTTTTAACTATCCCGACTTGGGTATTATTGACTATGAGTAACTTCTTAGAGACACGTAATCTACAACCTCAATCCAATACAACGGATTCTATCATCTACTTCGTCCAATCTCTCTCAGTTTTCTAAATACCTGCCAACTTTTCTTTCTTTGTTCATTCAGCACTAATCAACTCTTTCTGTTTATTTTAAGACATTTGTTGCACCTTGTTCGAGCTTTTCACGCTGGTGAGGCAGGGGATAGTGTTAAAAAAGATTAGATCAGAACTGGTTCCATATGAAATATCTGGATACGTGTATACTATTTTAATCTGAAGGGATGAATCATGAAGGGTGGTATTTTAATTTCTATTTTCATTGGGCTCATTGAATATTATCCTATAGCACTTTTGAGATTTTGGTCTTTCGAAAAATGAGTAATTATTATAGTGGGATTCAGATTTGTGAGTCTTGCAATTAGGTGTGGCAGTGATATTGGAGGGCAAGATAACTCTAGTAGGGATTGTTATTCATGAGACTTTAATATACATTGGTGGTCTAGTGAATGGACATTGAACAAACTGCATATTGAATACCAATCTTTTTGTGTGTGATAGTGTGATTCTGCCCCACTTATTTTGTTCATGTGGAAGATGATCCTGTGATTCTTGGTGTTCATATTGACTGCATTTAACTTTCTTTAGTTGTGAGTATTTACTCCGACTGTTTTCTAATAGTATTTTCACTGGGCTTGTTCTTATTCAGGAGGCTGTCTCATGTTGAGAAGTTGCAGGATTGATAATTTATTGACGAGAATTGGATCTGAATTCAATTTATCTTGTATTTTAAAGGGTGGGAGTATTTCATAGATCCCAAGGAAAAAAGGAATTGCAAGATTTAAGGTGTTAATTCTTTATTTATATATTGAAACATACCAACTGTCAACAGCTGAAATTCTGGCTTTCAACCGTCATCTATGCCTGGCAACGAAAATGGAGATAGGGTCCACAATTTCTTTGCGCAAGAAAATTCATCTCAGGGGCAGCAACAATCACATATAGGGAATTGGCCTGTGCAAAACAACAATTTTTGGGTTGGCAGCCAGAGGCAAAGTGATATAGTAACATCTAGTAGTAAAAATTACTCTTCACAAAACTCAGGTACTACCTTACTGCTTCTGTGTCGAACTTAATTATATGTACTAAATTTATTCTGTTCTGTTTGGATAATTTCCCTTTAGGCTTTAGCCTGCATATATATAATTTTTGCCATTTATTTCGCGACTAACCCTTTTTTTTTTTTTTTTTTTTTTTATACTTGACTAATTGCTTTTTTGATATTTCTGTGGTTGCACAAATATAAACAGATAGGTTACAGGCCAGCTATCCTGTTAATGCGGCACATAGCTTGAACTTTTCTCAATCAAATCCGAGACCTGATTTTTCGAAAAATCAGTCCCTAAATGAACAGCAACCATCGAATGGATTTATGTATGGAAATCAGTTTTACCAAACTAGGCAGAATGAACCAAACTTTCTGGCGATGGATACAGATTCAGATCAGCGTCATCTCCATCAGCAGAGTGGCCAGGAACAAGCCAAAAGTTCAGGTAGATCTGAAACATCTGGTGCTCCTGTAAGTTTTGATCTATTTGGTGGTCAGCAGCAGATGAGTCACCAGCAAGCAAACATGCTGCAGGCGTTACAGCGTCAGCAATCAGGCTTCAATGACATGCAGCAACTTCAACAGCAACTCATGATCAGGAAAATGCAAGAGCTTCAGAGTCAGCAGCAAAATTGGCAGCTTGACTTAATGCCTCAAAATATGGTTAGCCAGGTTCCTCCATATACCGAAGAGGCATCTGGCAGCCTGTCATCCACTCGGGTTAACGGCTCTCCAAATTCTGATACTTTACAGCATCCTTGGGCAGCTGAGCCTGGTAAAAACTGGCTGACTCGTGGTTCTTCAGGCATGCAAAGGTCTTCCAGTGGACTTGGTTTTTCACCAAACCCAGGCCAGACACAACATTTACCTGATGTGGTGCCTCAACAGGTTGATCAATCTCTTTATGGAGTTCCTGTTTCCGGGTCAAGGGGTTTGGCTGCCAATCAATATTCTCAGATGGTGACAGATAGATCTTCAATTCCACAATTGGCAACCTCTGGCAGTTCTCACGGTAGCCGACGTAATTTTTTGCCTGATCAAATTGGACATAATTTTTTGCCTGATCAAATTGGTGGACAGGAGGAGACTTTCATTTCTAGACAGAAATTTCAGAATGCACAATTTGAACATGCTTCTAGTCAATCCCTGAATACTAGGACAATGGATATTGGAATGCAAGTGAATTCCATGCAAAGAAATGCATCACAGCAGGACCTTTCAAGGAGACAGGAGCTAGCTGCTCAAACCGAGACCTCGCATGAAATTCATCCAAGGCAAGTGTCTGAATCTTGGAATGAAGTTGCACTAGATCCTTCGGAAGAAAAGATTTTGTATGGTTCAGATGATAATATATGGGCTGCTTTTGGCAAGAGCCCCAATATGGGTGGTGAAGCTGGTAATTTATTCGATGATGGTGGATCTTCCAATGGGTTTCCTTCCATTCAAAGTGGTAGTTGGAGTGCTCTTATGCAGTCTGCAGTTGCCGAAACTTCTAGCAGTGATATAAGGGCACAGGATGAGTGGAGTGGTTTGAATAATCACAATCCTGACAGTTCTTCTGCAATTCAGCCCCATTCAACGCACAATAAAATTGTTAAACAAGCATTTATTTCTAGTGACAGTACGCGAATTCCTTCAGCATTGAGTTCTGGATCCAACCCTCCTTCCGATAATTTAAATATGGGATTGAACCAACTTGGACATAAGTTTCAAAATGGACCTTACCAAAGAGTGCCAACTGATACTTTTCGAAGATTGGGGCAACCTTTGGAGGAAGCTAGAGAGTGGTCGAATCGTACTTCATTACAAAGATCAGTTGCTGACGGGAGTCAAATATATGGAAATGCCTCGCAACATTCTCTCAGTGCTGAGAGAAATGCTAAGATACTTTCTGGTACTTTGGCCCCGAGACAGAGTGGGACTAGACAACCACCTAATGGTTGGAATGCTCTGGCAGCTGTATCACATGGTGGAGATAGATTGTTGAATATTGACGAGGCTGAGAAGTTGTCACAAAATTCTCAAAATCATCAGGTGAGGGTAATGCAAGGGGAAGTGCATGAAAATTCTTTATGGAAGTCCAATTCTGTAACTGGTTCTGCTATTCAATTTGGCTCTGTACAACCTACTTTAGGAAATTCCCAAGAAAATATAGGTGCTTTGAGTTTGAATGATGCTACTGCTTCAGTAGCAAATTCACGCAACATGGGATTCGCTGATGGAACCGGTGCATTTGTTCAGAGCAAAGACTTACTGAGTCAGTGGAAAAATGGCTATCCTTCAGCCAATGTCCAAGGCGGTGAAGGCCTGGGGAGAATGCTGAACCAGGTTAATGAATACAATCAGGATTTGAACTTGTTGAATAGCAGCAATAAAGATGAAGCTACTAGACATGATATGCAAAGTTGTGCTATGAAGGAAAATTCTAGTGACAGCCATCACTCAAACTTATCTCAGCATCCTTCTGGTGGCCTTGGAGAAAGTGGATTGTTGGATGTGAGTGATGCAAGATCTCTGCCCCCTGGGAAACAAAAGTCAATTAATCAGCTGGCTAGTAATTTTTCTGTCCATCGTAAGTTTCAGCATCATCCCATGGGGACCTTGGATGAGGATGCGGGACCTACCTATGGACTGAAGCAGCCTACCCAGGTAAAAGGCCAGTTCCTTGCAGAATACGTATTGTTTGCCAGTCAAAATTGTTTGGTCAAATATCAAGAAATTCTAGAGGAACAACAGCAAAAGTGAATTATGAATTATATTATGAATTCTGTGTAGACACCACTATTGACGAGCCATAAATAATGAATATTGTTTAATCTACAGGGTAGGCTCCCAAAAGACAATAAAGGTCCTGAACAAGAGCCTTTGCATGGCAGCTTTCTCGGTTATGCACCTAATATGTCTGTTTCTTCTAGTCGACCCTCCGATTCAAGCATAAATAAGGCTTCTTCACCCAGGTACTTACAGTTTTTCATTTTTATTTCCATTTATAGTTCTTACATATTTTGACAACATTCTGGGTGTTTTAATCTAGTCAAAACATGTTGGAGCTTCTTCACAAGGTGGATCAATCAAAAGACCAGGGTGCCTTGACGCACTTAAGTTCTGGATCATCTAAGCAGCTTAGTCAATCTTCTGTTTCTCAAGGTTTTGGATTGCAACTCGGTCCACCATCTGGGCGATTGCAGATCCCTGGCCTTCCATTAGCTTCTCAGAATGCTCAAGGCAATATCAATTCAATACATCCTAGTCATGCCGGTGCTGACCTGGGAGAGAAAGGTCTGCTGATGGTCCCAACATCTTCAGTGCAACCTTTGCCATACCCTAATGAAGATTCTCAGATTCAATTTGAAGATGATAGATCTGCAGGTGCAGAACATCCTGGGAACGAGAATCCTCTGTATAAGGCTACTAGAAATTATTATCCAGCATTCAGCTCTGAAACTCCTTCCGCAGGAAGTCAGCTTCAAAATAAACTAATGAAGGCAAGTGGAAAAGTGGCAATGAATCAGCACTTGGACTCCTCTTTCAGCTATAATACTTCACCTACGGTGCAAAGGGGATCTGCAGAGACCTCCTCACCTGATGCTTCTCGCAATATTCAAAAAGAAAATCTTGCTCCATTTGGGGGAACGATTCAACAAACAGGCTCTTGTGATGTACAAGAAAGAGGTCCTGCTGAAGCTGGATTAACCAGGAATCAAATGCGCAGTCCTCAGCATTTTGGCATGTCTGGCATTTCTCGAGAGGGAGCTCCCAGCCAAGTTTTGCATAACATGTGGACCAATGTTCCTGCATCTCGACACACTTTGCCGACTCACTACTCTAATGTTCCGTCACAATTTTCAAGACCACCTCAGCCAAAGAATTCGGAATCACATTCTCAAGGTAATCTAGATTTTAGTAAAGGGGGTCACCTTTCATCCGAATCAAATGCAGTTCAGGCAAACTCTTCAGGTCTTTTCGGGGAAGAGCCTAGGTTGAAGGAAACTTCTGGACAGGTTGCATCATTTGCGAAGATTGACTCAGCTACGGAAATGGAAGAATCTCTGGGAAAAACAAATGATTATCCTGCTAATTCTGCTTCAAAACATAAGGATACTGGAGTTTTTGGGCAATCTTTGAAACCTAATATCTTCTCTAATGAAAACAATGCCTTACTAAACCAAATGAGGGCCTCGAAGGACGCAGAGACTGATCCAAGCGTTAGAGTTTCAAAGAGAATAAGAGGACCAGATAGCATTCTTAATGTTAGTCAAGCACATTTGACGGCAGGGCCACAAAATGAAGATAACGTTGTAGATTCACTGGATTCAAGTACTGGAGTTCCTTCTAAAGATTCAAGGATGCTGAGCGTCTCCACACCTACTGATATCTTGCAGAGAAATATTTCTCCACATGAAAATTTTGCCTCACAGGATATCGTGGTGGCTAATGTGGATGCTTCTTGGAACAAATCTTCTACTGATTGTTCTACTTCTGTTGGAGTCGAGCATAATCAGGTTGTCCATCAGATAGCACCATCCAAATTCAATCACTATGGATCTTTTAAAGATGGGAGAATGATGCATGTGCATAATGCACAAACGTTCACCTCATTGAGACCAGAAGAACTACCATTTACCCTTGTAAAACCTTCTAGTCATTTGGTCTCTCCTAATTTAGAGGAGAAAAGTACTGCTATTCCAATTGATACATGTCGAGTTGGTAGTACCGTTATAAATTCTGCTCCCACATCAGAAGCAAACAAGCATTTATCTTCCGAGTCATTGCAGCTGAATGTCACTGGTCAGCATCAGGTGATTTTGGGACCCAAGAAGCGTAAGAGTGCTACTTATGAACTTCACTCTTGGCACAAAGAAATATCAGATGGATCACAAAAACTATCTTTTCTTAGGTAATTATCATGAACCAGTATATTTCCTTCTTTGGTTCTATTCTTTTACAAACTCTTTTTCATATTGATAAGCAAAGTAGTGGTCCTTGATTCATGGAATTAACAAGTTTTATGTTTGTATTTCCAATGCTCTGCGAGTGTGGTTCTTGCTGCAATTTCTTTTTAATCTGTATTAATTTTACTGAATGCAGCGTGGCAGAAATAGATTGGAATAAGGTGGCAAATAGTCTTACCGAAAAGGTATGATGGGTTTGTATGTATGCTCTCATTGTTGATTGATTTCAATTCTTTCAGGGTTAACTACATCAGTTGTCTCTTTTTTTCTGGTGACAGATTGAAAATAGTGCTGATTTAACTGAAGATGAACCTCCAGTCGTTAGATCAAAGAGAAGACTTGGGTTGACAACACAGCTTATGCAGCAACTATTTTACCCTCCACCTGCAAATATTCTCTCCGCTGATGCAACTTCTGAATACGAGTGTGTGACTTATGCTGTATCTAGGGTAGCACTGGGAGATGCATGTAGGGATGTTTGTCACTCAAGTGATTTGGGTTTATCCAATGGCGGCCTAGACATGTAAGAACGAACTTGGATATTTCCTGATTAGTTGAATCATGTCTATATGGATCTTCTGCATTTTCATAATTCTCATTGTTTTATTTTGTTTTGCTTTTCTGCAGTCTAAGTATTTATCTTTTTTATATAAACTATCTCATAGGCATTCCATTAAGGACAAACTAAACGGTGATCCAAGTTTCGCAAAAGTTATTGAAGAGTTGTTAGGAAAAGCAAAGAAGCTAGAAACTGATATCCTGAGGTAACTCTCTGCAGCTTGTCTTTGTTTTTCTGGTTTTCATTATACTTCATCAGCTTTCTAGGATTGTATCTCGTCAGGACTAAGTTAAATGCCTGAATGAGTTTTCCTTTTGGTGAAAATGGTAACTTAATTTTCTTATCAACCTTTCAGACTAGTTTAGAAATATCCCGAAGTCGATTATGATCTACATTATTGTTATCATATAAGACAGATACTATCTTTTTTGATTTGGTATGTTTGTGTGACTATTAAGTTATAACTCGATATATGTACACAGTTTATTTCATCTCATCTTTGCTTTATTTTTCTAATTTACTCTATTGATTTTGAAATGTTACTTTTCTTTTTAAATTTTATCCTTAATGTAATAATGATATGAATAAGAAATTCACACATCACGTTCTTTTAGATTAAAAATTATAACAAATGTATTTTTAATAACTCCAGGATTTGAGGTAACAGTGTGAATGGTTGCCAGTACTATGTAGCTGCATCCTTGCTTTTATTTATAGTTCCTTAGAAAGGCCTATAAGTCTGAATTTTTCACCCCTGTGCTAATCAGGTGTTGCAGTCTGTACAATTTCAACCGTTTTGGTTTTTGTGCTTTACATGGTGCCATGTAACTGGCAAGGGTTTAACAAAACTAATCATTATTGCCATCATCTCTTATGTAGGGTACTAGAGTTTCTCTTTTCATTCTTATACTTTTATCGTCAGCATAGTTGTATTAAAATGAATGAAAATCCAATATTGGGTTTTGTTTGCAGACAGACTTATCACATGATCAAGTGAACAAATCTTTTCATGTTCATTTTGTTATTTATATTCGTTATTTACTATTATTATTTTTTTTTATAATTCTGTGTGGCTGATATGAGGTTGAAACTCGCATAAACGAGTTAATTTTAAGCGAATACAGCAAATTTTGTATTTAATTTAAGATTGAAAATATATGAGTTTTAGTCACTATAAGCTTTGGTTATAATGCCGAATTTGTTGTCCTCCGTTTATGATCATGTCTTTCATCGCGCCTTGACGTAAATATGCGTTTTCTAATTTGCAGACTGGACAAGAGTGCATCAGCATTGGATTTAAGATTGGAATGCCAAGATTTGGAGAAGTTTTCTGTCATCAATCGACTTTTTAAGTTACACAGTCGGGGGCAAACTGATAATGCGGAGACAGCATCGACTCAAGCAACGGTAACTACTCAGAAATCTCACGTGCAAAGATATGTAATTGCTGTGGCCCCGCCTAGAAGTTTCCCTGAATCGGTACAATGTATCTCTCTATAATTATCGATTGGTATATTTTTTTTTGTTCTTGTGATCAATTATTGTCGGTAGTTATTTATCTGGCACTTGCGCCAAGATCAGTAGTAGAACCACATGAGATCAATCACAGAAGGATGGACATGATGTTGTCTCCTCAAATGTGATTGAGGCTTTTTTAATCTTTCCGATTAGGCCATTGATGTCATTTATTGAGAAATATAGGGTTTCAATTCATGTACATGTTCAACATCTCTCTTTGAAATGAAAGGAATTTGCTGTTCCCCATCAATTTTATAAAAGATGGGATATTTTAGTACAGCGTTTGTTTTTTCAGATACATTAACATGTAGGTACATATATATGCTGACATACATATAATGGTTTGATCAGCAAACCATTATTAAAATCGTACGAAGCTAGTACAGTTATGTCTAAAAGTTGCAGGTTTCTTGGTTTTCAAGGAAGAAGTTACTAATTTTCATTTTTTTTTTCATGAAATTTTGTCGACTTCTACTCCGCTCTCGGTCACTAATCATGTTTTATTTTTGTCACTTAAAAAGTATTTTCCTGTATTTACTGGCTGTGGCTTTCGTAGGGAAACATGAAACCTAAAATATAGTACTCCCTTTTTTCATTGTTACTACCGTAACGAGATTCTTGTGTAGTTATAGTGACATGATGACATGAGCGAATTTGAACGAGTGGCAATAACTGTTGCTTCTTTAACTTGCCAAATGTCCCTGTGATAAATGTTTTTAGTTCTTTGTAATGTATAGTATTGTGTTGTAGTGTTGTACCATACTTTTCGGGTGATGGTTTAGAATTTCAAATTCAGTTCAACTAACTGTTTATAGCTGGTGACCGAATAACAAACCAAGTTCTTGTTTCACAGTAGATGCACGTAATTTCATACGGATCGAATCGAATCGATATTGATTCGCAGGTTTTGATTTTTGAGAATTCCATCGTCTGTGTTGGTTTTTAATGAATGTTCTATACAGCTAGCAGGCATTGGCATGGTAAAAAATTGAGTTTAGTGACACTGTGTCAGTTTGACAGTGTTCTTTCCTTTCTTTTCTGGGAAAAAATAAGGGTAAATTACGAAAACCCGTTTGTTTTCATCTTACACCGACTCTTGTACACTGTGTTTTTTCATAGAATCTTTTTTATCCCAAGTAATATTTCCAAGTAATAATTTTTGTTTGAAGGGTATTTATGACATTTTATATATCTTTGATGGTGAATTGAGATACTTTGGAGGTGGAAATAACACATTGATAAATAGGTATTAGGTTATAGGAAAAAAATCAAAATATAAAATCGGATTACACATTAAAAATATGTAATTCCAATTATACTAAACTATTTTCAAAAAATCTGAACATTGAAACAAATAAACAAAATTAATCCAAAAATCAGAAATTTTACCAATCGCAAGTCTACATCACAAAATTCACAAAAGTCGTTGAACTTTTATTTTTTATTTTATTTAATAGTAAAGATGTGTATATGTGACATTTGGTGTATGTTATTTTGTCATATTGGAAAAAGTGCAATTTGCATGTTGCCTATTGGCCGACTATATATCTTCTGAATCTTTTTGGGCAAGTTTGTAAAGAGTAGGCACCATGCCAGCACACATTGCCCACCAAATATTTATTATTTATTTATTTCACTAATTGCATCCATATTATATATATTTGTGCACTTCCCCCCAAAAGAAACCAATTGCTAAAATAAAAGAGGTCTATACTTTATGTGTTCAAGATATTTGTGTAATTAGGTTATGTTGGTTTATTAGTGCTAGCAATAGAATCTAAGCTTATAAGTTATTAAAAGAGTTTATAATATGTTTAAGAACTTATAAGTTCTTTCATTTCAAAGTGTTTGGTAAAGTTTTTAAAAAAATCTTAAGAATTTAAAAATAAGTTGTTGGATAGCAAATATTTTTCTTTTAAAAATACATATACAACACGTTTTTACTTAATATCTTATAATAAATAAAAATATTTTATAAGGTCATTATCCAAATACTTTAAAAATTGGCTAAAAGTTCCTAAAAAATACTTTGTATAGCTAACAGGGCCGGATATTTTGAATTTGCTAGAAGTCCCTCCAGCAGCTTAGTTGGACAACTTAGACTGAAAAATTGACAGTTTAGAAAATAAACAGCTACAACTAAAATAGACAACTTAGTTGGAAAGTTTAGATTGAAAATAGATAGTCTAGACTGAAAGTGGACAACTTAGTTATAGTATTTAAACTGAAAATAGACATCTTAGATCGAAAATCAATGAAAATAACATGTTTCCAGCGATGTGGTTGGCGGAAATTAGACGGCCGACGACAAAGGGCTAGCAGGAATGGGCAGAAATGCCATTTTTGGGATTACGTGTTGATGAGTTGGAGGCGAATAAAGTATTTTCAGTTTAAAATGACTATCTTCAGTTTAAACTCTCCAACTAAGCTGCCCGAGGTACTTATAGTAAAATGCGAAATATGAATATTCAGATTTGAAAGAGTATAACCGCTCAGGGGTATTTAGCAATTAATTATAAAAATTAAACATAACAACTTATCAGTACTTAAAATTTAGATATAAAAACTTATCAGCTATTTAAAATAAGTTTAGCTGAACGGGCACTTACAGTGCAACCGTATTCAAATTATTGGGAGACAAATCATAGAGATGTTCACCTTAGTTGAATCATCAAAAAATTGTACATATTATTTTTTTATTAGTTGGTGACATGTGTATTCTAAGTGCCACCACACACATCTTTAAAGTTCTTAATTAAGGGATGATTAAAAAAATGAGAGATTATATAGTCATAATTTTGCCAAGTGTTACTTATATAACTTAAATAGAGATATATGGCTCATTATTGTCATATTGTGGCTGATTTTTTGCATTTTTTTAGTATTAGTATTTTTGTAATTATTCACATTATTTTGAACTAATCCTTTTTTTTTTTTTTGAAAATTATATTTTGAACTAATCTATTGCACCAAAATCTACATACATATCTTCTTAGGTCTAACATAAGCGAATACATCATCAAAGCCAAGTCAATATAATTGGTGCCATTTTTAAATTAGTTTTTAATTAAAATATTGATTAGGGTTAGTTAAAAGAACCTTGCACGATAAGTTAAAGCATGGGGGAGTGGAATATTTTATTATTTACTGAAAAATAAGCAATTATTACGTCATCAATTGCGAATTGCGATTAAGGGGTCAATTTTACTCACTATGGTTGAATTGAACTTTGAAAAGTAGTATAGTTTAATTTTGACTTAACCAAAGTCAGTTTGAATTATGCATTAAAAATTAAAATACAAATTAGTTTCCGATGTTGCTGGATTTATTGCTGTAGAAATATTCATGGCCGTTTATTATTATTATTTTTTATTTTTTACTTTTTATTTTGAGAAAAAAGTATTAGTATAATTCAATTTTCTAAATTTTTATTATAACATAAAGAAATAAAATAAAAATTCGAAAAATATAATCCAATTCATTTGATTTTCGCCGATATTTCAATATAGTTAAACATCTATAAATTAATACAGTCGAGACTTAACAAAATTCTATTAATTTAGCAAAATATAAATTATATAACCAATAATATAATAATAATTTTTTTTTGCAAATGGGGACCAAAAGTAATTATCATTGAAACAAAATTATTAATTTATGGAGGTTTTACTCTAATTACCCCATTTTATTGCTTAATTAAAGTAGAAATACAAAATAAAAATGTAAAGTCCATTTACCTTGCTCCTCACGCCCCTTCCCCTCCCAACCGGACTACCCCCTACCCCACCCCCCACCCACCCCACCCCCACATACTTGCCCACTCTGCACACACACACACACACACACACACACAGAGGCACAGCTATATAAGCAATCTGAATGTAAGGAGAAAACCGAACCTGCATTTTATTATTCACTCTCACTCTCTCCAAAACCAAATCAACAAACAAAGAATTCAGAAGAAGAACAAGTCTTTCCCTCTATATTTATATTTAATCATCCATCCCATTCTTTTTCTCCCATTATTTCGGATTATTATCTGTTCATCCTTTCAAATCTCTCTCTTTCTCTCTCCCAAACACTAATTTCTCCTTTTCGATTTACATTAAGGTACAAAGTTTTCACCTTTATTCTTACAATGACTCTGTCTGAATTTACATTCCCTTTTTTTTCTGGGTTTGTCTGAAATCTGAATATTCTGTTCTATATGTTCTGCTTGGGCGATATTATATCTGAGCTTTTCTTGATTTTCTATTTTTCATTTTCTGCCTTCAATTATTTTTCGTGTATGTACAGTTTTTGATCTCTGATGTTTCTTTCATATTGTTTCATGTGGCTCTGTTTTCTGTATAACATATTCTCAGAGATTTGAGTTTGATTTTCGTAATTTACAGTCACCCCTGAGTTAAGGTTTATTTACAAAATAACCCCTCATGTTTCCATAATTACATACAACCCCTACAATTTGTAGATTTCTTACATTAACACCCTACAGAAGGGGGTGGGTGTAAGAAATTTATAAACTTCTGGGTCTAGATGTAATTTTTAAAACATAAGGGGTTTTTTCGTAATTAAACTTTACCTCTGGGAGGTGATTGTAATTTACTTTTTTAATAAGTATATAACCAAGAAAAAAAAATCTAGCATTAGTAACACTTTTTGAATTGTTTGTTTCTATTTACAGAAAATCGATTTTTTTTCGAAATTGCATGGGGGTACATTGTTCGTGCCCACTCGCCGTTCACTTCGACATAGAGAACGGTATCAAATCCGCCATCGTAAAATCGGACAACCTTTTCAACGAAGCACAATTGATTCAACCATTAAATCCCGAAGAAATGGCAATGGTCACTTCATCATCCAGCACACACGATGCCGCTATTAAATTGCAGAAGGTTTACAAAAGCTTCCGAACTCGAAGAAAGTTGGCCGATTGCGCGGTCCTCATCGAGCAAAGCTGGTGGAAGATTCTCGATTTCGCCGAACTTAAGCACAGCTCGATTTCTTTCTTCGAACTCGACAAACACGAAACCGCCGTTTCGCGCTGGTCTCGCGCAAGAACAAGGGCTGCTAAGGTACATATTTAAACTTCGACATTGCCTAATTTTTTTTCGCTAACTTATAATTTTTTTTTTAATCTTATTATTGTATTTTGCAGGTCGGAAAAGGCTTGTCGAAGAACGGGAAAGCTCAAAAACTCGCTCGACAGCATTGGCTCGAAGCTGTAAGTAATTATAATCCGTTACGTTTTTTTAAGTAATCAATTTAATTATAGAATTTGGGAAGTATTAAAACTGATTCGATTTAAATTGGATTTTGAGCAGATCGATCCACGTCATCGTTACGGGCACAATCTGCATTTCTACTACGTTAAGTGGTTGAATTCACAAAGCAAAGAGCCCTTCTTCTACTGGTAATATACGATTAATCGATTGCTCCAAACAATTATTTTAAATAATTTTTTTTTATTTATTACGTTGTATTAAATAAATGATTTGAAATCGTTTAGGCTCGACCTTGGAGAAGGAAAGGAGGTTAATCTTATCGAGAAATGCACTCGTTTAAAGCTTCAAACACAGTGCATCAAGTATCTTGGTCCGGTGAGCCCTTAATTAATATCCCTCACTATTTTAATTTAATAATTCCCGATAATTCGATTATTGATTTTTGTCGATTTTTTTTATATGTGACAGATGGAAAGAAAGACGTACGAAGTTGCGTTGGAAAACGGGAAGCTCTTCTACAAGCAAACAGGGGAGTATTTGGACACGACTAATGATGAATCGAAAGGTTCTACTAAGTGGATTTTTGTGCTAAGTACATCGAGAACTTTATACGTTGGTAAGAAAAAGAAAGGCTCGTTTCAACACTCGAGTTTCTTGGCCGGTGGAGCTACATTAGCTGCTGGGAGAATAGTCGCCGAAAATGGTGTTTTAAAGGTATCTTTTTATCTTTTTTTTATTATTATTTTTTTTATTATAATTTTATATCAGTTTTTCGACATATATTTGATTGTATTATTTTTTATTTTTAAACAGGCAGTGTGGCCCCACAGTGGTCATTATAGGCCGACCCCGGAAAATTTTCAGGATTTCATTTCGTTTCTCGACGAGAACAATGTGGATCTCACTCATGTTAAGGTATAATAAATATATAGATAATTTTTCTTCATTTTCTTGTTTCTTTTCATGATAAGAAATGTGAATGTATATATACTAATTAAAAAAAAAAAATTAATCTCGTTTACTCCAGCTTGATTCGACCGATGAAGAGGAAGAAGAATACATCGGACATAATAAACAAGGTCTATACTTGAGAAATAATTCCTCCGAAGAAGACTTGGTCAAAAAAGATCGTTCTCATTCCGAAACCGAAGAAAACGACTTTGAATCAAATCCCGACAAAATCATTACAACCGAAGAAGATAATGCATTGTTGACCGAGTCAATTGTCTCGCATGACTTTATCACCAAACCTTCTGCACTCGAGATACCGAGTAAAGATAACTTGATCCACACATTGGTTACTCAAAGCCAAATACCGGAACCAAGATCGAGTAGTGCATGTTCGGAAGACGATGAAATGAAAGAGGAGATTATTACGGAAGAGCATATTTTGCGGAGAATAAATTCGCACAAAGAAATGAATTCGTATCAATTAGGGAAGCAATTGTCGTGTAAGTGGAGTAGTGGAGCCGGCCCTCGAATCGGTTGCTTGAGGGACTATCCTTCGGGACTTCAATGCCATGCACTAGAGCAAGTTAAATTGTCCCCGGGAAGTAAACGTCGTTTAATATTCGAGTTTCCTTCTCGTTCATCGACGCCTATTTCGAGCAATATGTTTCGTAGTTGTAGTAGTGCTACAATTCACTCCTCATATTTATGAAACCATATTGAGACAATGTTGATTCTTTAACTAATCAATTTTTTAATTAATCTTTTTCTTTTTTGGGATAGGAATATGTATTCTATTTATCCATGTAACACAATTTTGTTCATTTCATCCTTGTACAAGAACATGGTGGAGGTTTGTAAGAAGCTTTTGTTTTAAGGCACCTTGGTATTCATTGCAACTTAAATTCTAAGTACTCTCTCAATTGTAAATCTGAAATGTTAAATGCAGTATCAACTTTTACTAATAATGTTTTGACTTCGAACATAATTTTGACCATTTTGTAGTATGACTTTTGGAAAGTTCAAAACACGGAAATTGTAGTTCTTTGAGTTAATTTTCTAATTTAACTTGAATCAGCTAGATTTGATCTTGATTGACAAAATTATACATTAAGGCCCCGTTTGGTTGCCAAGATAAGCCATGATTAACTAAATAATTGGACTTAATTTGTGATGTCTCCAATAAATTGCCGGTCGACCCGCCTAAATTATATTATCTTGACTTATTTTGCCTTCTAGTGAGTTTTTTTTTGGACATCGCGAGCTACAATAAAATAATTGGGTTTCATTAGATTATTTAATCTTATCTTGGCTAAATCTATCTTGCCAACCAAACCGGACCTAATGAGTTATATTTTGAATTTAAATAACTCAAACGTTAAAGTTGTGGACAATGTACATTGTTTCATCCATATACCTTCTCACCCGACATTCAATCTTTGTGATTCAAGGTTGGATTAGAAAGTTAACTCAAAGAAGCACAAATTCTGTGTTTTAAGTTTTATTAAATCCAAACTCGGAAATGATCAAAATCACGTCTGACGTCGAAATGGTATTCTTAAAATGAAACAATATCACGTCCCTAAATTTTGGTCGCTTGATGAATGGTTTGACTTTAATTTCACTGACGAAGCTATAATTTTATCTTTAGCTTATGTAAAATATACAAATTTTTTTTTATTTTTTATAAACTCATAAATTTGTCCAATTTCCGAATTTCATCTTATTAAATGTGACTTGTTCAATACTCATGGAGTAACATCCAAGATTCAGGGGTCAACTTTTCATCCAGTTGACTCCTTTTTTTTTTTTATTGCGACAGTTGATTTAATTTAATTTATTTTATTTTATGTCCCCCATAAGTCAAATGTTGGGTTTGACTTATATTGTTTGTGGGAGGTGTAATGTTTTCGAAACCGAGTAGTTATGTATTATGAGCTGGAAATTGGTTGAATCAAGAAACAGAGCGATGTTGTATACATGTAAATATTCCTCGGTCCTAACCCAACACATCCCATGATGTTTTTATTAGTTTTCAAAGCACGTTGATTAACATTCATCAAAAAATAAAATAAAAACCCTAGAGAATTACCCTTTTAATACGAGATAAGTTTACAATTAATTATCATGATACTCATTTCTTTAACCTAGTGTCAATTTTTCTCCTTTTATATAATTAAAGATAAATGATACCCCTCCCTTTTTAAATAGGTGTCGTTTTTTTTACCTTGGCACAAGTTTTAAAAATTTCAATAAATATGTCTTGATTTTTGGAAAATTGATATTGATAGATCAAAATATTATTGTTTACTAATTAATGCCAAAATAGTATTGGAGAATTAATAAGAGTATAATTGAAAATATGCGATTAATGCAGCGTTGAAATTGTAGAGTGACTAGGAATAAAAGAAATTCTCAAAAGACAGAAATATTGTAGAATAAAGGGAGTAATATATATATATATATATATATATATATATATATATATATATATATATATATATATATAAATGATTGGTAGTTGTGATGTGATTTTTATTCATTCAAATTGATTATTTATCTGGCTAAAGTTTGTATGTATTAACTATTGTTTGGGGAACTGAGAGAAGCCAAAAAGAAGGAGGATGCTTTTCAAATATTTTCAACAAATTCATTGGCTACTTCAAGAAACTTATTTCATATAATAAATATCATCACATAAATAAATATATCTTTTTTATTTATTTATTTATTTATATAACTCTAATCAAGATGCACAATCTTCAGAGCTCTAGACTGAGCTGTAATGCTACACAAATCCAAACACAAAGACATGCAAAAATACTAATGATAACAACAATAAATAATAATAATAATTAGAGACAAGAACAAAAATCTAGGACAAAATATTGGTGCTCTGTTTGATTAGGTGAAACCAAGGCAAGAAACTGTACAAGTAATTTAGTTTAAGGAAATAATTAGGAGGGTACCAGGTTGTAGTGTCAGTTAGATCCAAAACTAAAGGACAGTTAAAAGTACATGTATAGACAATTTGAATATATCAAGAATATATTCCATATCAAGATCTGCAATAATTTATATAGCCTAATTATTATTAATAAAAGTTATGGGTTCAGTTCATGACTGTTTTTATTAATTTACACATTGATTAAAAGTCTGCCCTAATAATAATTATAAAAAAGGATTTAAATAGAAACAAAATTATTGGCTAAGTGAATCTTAGTTGCCATGTTTTCTTGAATTAATTTATGGGCTCTATTCATGCATCTATCTATGTATAACATATTTATATTTTATTTTATTTGTTTTGAATAGGGGTTAGTGACAATTTGTGGTGTAAAATGAGTAAGTAGATGTGAAGAGACATAAAATCTAAAGCTGGGTGTTATAAGTAGATTTTGTCTAGGCTAAAAGATTTATGAACATGTTGATGCTAATTACCTTCAATCCACCTTCTCTCATTAATCACCAATTTGTTAAAATGAAAGTATCATCTTAATACGTGTAAAGGGTATTTTTGGGTTTTTCTATTGAAATGGAAGTAATCTTGAAGGAATCCGCAGTCAACCATATATGTGCACTGTGTAAACCTACACTCTCGTATAATAGTTTATAAACCATACAAAAGACGTAAATTAAACCACATTAGGCTAACCATGTGTGACACGTTAACTTCAAAGCCTAAATTGCTTCGGAGTTACGAAACATGGTTATAATCTCGTTTTATTTTTATTCTTTCCCCGAAAAAATTTGTGTTTGTTAAGTTTAAAAAAAATTCTCAAAACAATTTAAAATTTTATGTCTCTTTCAGATATGATTTGACTGGTGCGGTAAAATGATTGACTATTACGTTAAAATATGTGTTCACTAAAAAAACATTACTTTATTTTTTAAAATTTTCTTCTAAAGTACCATTTTTCAACACCTTTAAACATGAGTTGAGTGTATCGTGTATTTTGTCTCATTCTAAATATAAACAAATACTTTCATTCTCAAATTATTCCCTCGAAACATATTTTCTCAAAATAAAATGAAAATAACTCACAAAACGAATCCAAACATTGCATCATCTGGGCTCCGGAGTTCATATCCGTTTAAAAATCGAAAAAAAATGATTCTTGGATTCCTTTTATAAAATCTACAAAAAATATCTACAACTATATAAAAGAAAATGCTACTAGAATGATTTATAGAGTTTAAGAGATTTTTAGAGGTTATGAAATTTTCAAACTTTAATTTCTTGTATTTACTATTTGATTGGTTTAGTAATTACTAGCCCAAGTATTTGATAGATCAACCCATAAAACTTAAATCAACCCACAAAAAAATGGCCCAAATGCAATTGGGCTCAATTGGCACTGTTAATAAATGTGAATGATCTCAAATCGAATTTATACACTTAAGGAATTAAGAAGCATGCATGGCTCGGTTTTTGGCTAAAACGGTACATGAACCAAATATATCGGTTTTTTTTTAGATTCAAGCCTATATATATTGGTTATTCATCGGTTCAGCTTCATTGGGGGTTTTGATTTAGTAAGGTTCGGTTATTTTTCTATATATTCAACAAAATAATCAAATTATAATTACTTTCACAAAGTAATTAAGTACAGTAAAAATATAAAATCTTTAATCCTGCAGAGTTTAATATAAGTTGGATGACGCATTTTACTCCATGTCTCTTTTCCTACTTTCATCAACCAAGAGTAAAAATTTATTTACTAAATGATTAAAATACTAATGTCTTAATTTATGCAAAAGTACTTAGAATGAGATTAGTTAGAAATTAGAATCGACCATAATTTACCCTTGCATCTTCTAGTCTTGAAACTACAACGTCCTCTACAAATGACTATCGATCGATTCTCAAATTTTTATTTCCATCTTTCTGCACTATGATTCATTATTTTCAATTATTAATTTTTTAATTTTATTAATATTTTTATACAAAATAATTACAAAAATTCTCTGAATTTTTTTCTGATAAGTTTATCACGTGGAATATGGCTATTATATTGTTGCATAAGACTATATTTTACTATAGCCAACTGGAGTCATGTTCTTCTATATATTATCGCTTTTACATTTTGAACTTAAAATTGTATATATAAATAACCTCAATCAACACTGTTACAAAAAAATCACAATTTTAATTTTGTTATTACAAAAATTAATGCATGTATAAGATTTTCAAGTAAAACAAACATCAACATCATAATATATTCGAGAAAAAACTATAAATGTTACTTATGTGACTATATATCATTACATATGACTATTATAAGATTGTATGAGAAAATGTTGATGATGAAAACTGCATAAGTTGATGCTCTTGTTGCCTGCTCATTAAACGTAACTATAATATAATTTCCAAAATGGGGGTGTATTGCATATTTTAGATTTTTATGTGTCCTTTTGTTAATTTTCAGGTGCTCTCCTCCAAAACGGTGTCGTTTTCGTCCTCCAGAATTAATTCAAAAAATCCCGTCTTTAATCACATCTTTTCTTCTTCCCCCTTTTTCTTCCCGACCCAGCCGCCGCCGACGCCTCCACCGCCGCTGCTGCTAACGTCGTCTTCTTGGGTCATGAAAACTATTTAATTATTCAATTCTCGACAACAGACATTGGCCTCCGTCAATGGCCGATTCAGTCAAATCGACTCAAATATCAAACCCTACTGCCTCAGGTATTTCTCCCCCCTTTCTACCCACAGATCAGTTGTTTTTGTTACTTTGCTGAAGGAGAATGTATTATTCACTGATTTAATTGCACGAATTATGGTTTTTGAGATAGTTTTTTTTTTTTTTTACAGTGGTGAATATTAGAAAATGTGAAACACCTACATTTTCTTTCTTCTTCTTTTGCTCAAAGAGTTTGATGTGTGATTGTTATTATTATTTTATTTTATTTTATTTTATTTTCTTTCAAATTTATTCTTGCATCATAGTTGATGTTACAAACTAGAGAATTATAATTAATTAATTATTATTTTCAGTTATAATATACGAATAATTATTATTATTATAGCGGATAACAACTCTTGATCCATTACAAAACCAAATTTCTCGATTATGTTGTCGGAGAATGATAAATCACCAGCAATATTTGCCATACTACCAAATGAAAATTTGACCTTTTACTAACAATATATTCTTAAAGGTATATATTCTTATAGTCGATTTCTCAATTTTAAATTTATCGGACTCGAACTCATTGTTTCTATCGATGTGGATGCGATCTTGCAGGGAACAAGAAAATGAAGGTCAAGATTTTACGTATCCTTTGCACGTAAATTAATGCATGCATTTGTCACCCCATTGATCTACTGGGCTCATTTAGCATATCCTGTGAACCAAATTTGTTAGTTTGGTTTTGTTTCTTGATATCTCGACCCAAATCTGATTGCCTCCATTGTTTATAGAACTGTTGTTTTCTCCTAAACGGTGAAATTCACCAGACTTCGAATTAACGTAAAAAACAGAGTGATACAACTTATAAGTATTGTCTCCTCTTTCGCTTCTGTAGAAGCATTGTCGCATTTTAGTAATCATCTAGCTGTGTTTTATTGGCTTAATGCACACATATCAGTTTTATTTTAGGTAAATTACAACTACCTCCCTGAGGTAAAGCGGAATTACAAAAAAACCTTATTTTCGAGAAATTACATCCACCCCCCTGCAGTTTGTCAATTTTTTACACCCACCATCTACAAAAGGGTGTTAGTGTAAGAAATCTAACAAATTGCAGGGGTGGAGATGAATTATGAAAAAATGAGGGGTTTGTTTTGTAAATAGACCTTAGGTGGTTGTAATTTACCCTTTATTTTAGTATCTCGTGTAGAACAGTTTTTTCCTTGACACAGCCATTTGTGATTCAACCGGAACAGAGTATGCATCTTACACCCTATTACTATTTTGCTAGTCTCCTAATTCGTCGATTTATTTAATTATTTCATCGATATTTTTCTTTCGATTTAGTTAAGTAGCTGAAAAATCTTGTGTTGGTAAAATTAATCAGATGGCATGCTATTGGTTCTTGGACATGGGATGCTCAAGACGAAACTTGCGGTATTTGTAGGATGGCTTTTGATGGTTGTTGCCCTGATTGTAAGCTTCCAGGCGATGATTGCCCTTTAAGTAAGCTCTCGATTTCATTATCCTTTTTTCCGTTTTTTTTGTTTTTTGTTTCTTTAAAAAAATATAATTGACAAATATTATGTTGCAGTGTGGGGAGCTTGTAACCATGCATTCCATCTTCACTGCATATTGAAGTGGGTGAATTCACAAACTTCGCAAGCACATTGTCCGATGTGCCGTAGGGAGTGGCAGTACAAAGAATGAATGATCGAAGTTGACTGTTTCTTGACCTAATTTCTTTTTTTTTTATGTTGTTGTTATTTGTTGTTTGGTTAGTTCGATAACTTTTGAGCAACGGCAAAGTTAGGAAGAAATGAAGTGTTATTTTGGTTTTATGGAGAAAATGTGCGTATTCGAGTTTCGACTATACAATTGCAGGAACTTTTTGTTAGCTAATCTTGTTGTGGCTATCAAACGAGGTCGTTTTCGGTACGAATTTGAGTGTAAGTACAGTGATATGTAATATCATTCTTGAATCCTGGAATTGACTATAAATTAGGTTCCACTTTTTTGTTCCAAACAATATAATCTTAAAGAAGATGAAAATCTTTATAAATGTCACATGGCCAATTTTCTCTTATTTGCAAGTCAAATTAACCAAGATCAATTTATGTAATTTATGAAAATCCAATTAAGCAAATATTAAATATATTTTGATTAATATTACAAAGTATATCAATATAAGTTTTATCAAGCTCTTGTCATGTTCACAACTTTTATCGAGCTTTTACATTTTCATTTTCCTCTTCTTACTATATGGCAATGTGGTTTTCGTTTCATTTTTATTTTTTTCCGGAAACAAATTCGTGTTTGTTTAGCTTTCCAATAATAATTTTCATCCCAATTTCAAAAGTTTTTTTTTTTCTCTCGAGGCATAATTTGATGGGTCTTTAGCAATAAACTCTCACACCGCTAAGAAATAGAACTAAACTCAACTATAAATTCATCATTTGCAATACCCCTAGTTTTTTTTTTTATCAAAAATTCCTCTCCTTTGTATAAACTATAAACCAGGCTATTGCATTAGTAATTATTTAGCGACAATCTTGTAAATTAGTAATTTTTAAGTAATTTTTAAATAAAAAGTTTCGACCGTCAGTCGCAACTGTGAGACTTGTTCGACTTTCGAGATCCTACACCTGATGAAATATATCATGTATTTTTTACGATTTACATTAGTAACTACCCATTAAGCACACATACACATAAATCTGTGTGTTATTATGTGTAGATCTATGATGTAAAAATACATAGTGTATTTCACCAGGTGTAAATTTTACAAAACTAGACTCCGATTCGTGCATACCGTAATTAATAGTAGTAATCAAACATAATCGGCAAATAGAAAAAAAAAAAAAAAAACAGAAAAATATATATTATACAATAATCAAATCAAGGTCACCATAATTACATTACATTACTTAAAAGTACGTAGCAATAATAGACAATCAGCAAACCAGGACATGCTAAAATAAATCACTTGATACAAATAAAATAAAATAAAATAAAATATCCTGTTTATAAAAAGCCAAAAGAGGGGAGAAGAAGAATCAAAATAAGAAATTAAAGGCGCCAAATCAAATCAATCACCACTAGAGGAATAAACTTTATGTATGTCCCTTTGCATTTTTACCTGTCAAAGAAAATTATATTAGGGATACCTTCTTTATCAAATTCTTTATATATAATAAAAAGGGCTAAATTACAACCACCTCCATAAAGTAAAGTCTAATTTAAAAAAAAAAACCCATTATTTTTACGAAATTAAACCCAAGCCCCTAATTTTATTAAATTTCTCACATCCACTCCCTACCAAAAAATGTGCATTTAAGAAATCAATAGATTGCAAGATGTAGTTTTGTTCTTACATGAAAATATATATTTCCAATTTCAAATTGGATTAATCGATCCCCCAATCCAGTAATTGATTTGATTGGGTAATTATAAAATTGAATAAATAGCATTTACGTCCATGTAGTTTGAATTTTATGCACACAATCCTCTGGAAGCCCTCTAGTAGGGCTTCCAGTATAGCACACGCACACCCTCGTATTTTAATATGGGCACATAACCCTGTTGGTACTTTCAAAAATTTCATCTTTCCTAAAGTTCTATTTACCCCATAAATTTTAATAACTAATTAAAATAAGAGGAATTCCCAAAAAAAAAAAAAAAAAAAGTTGAAGTATTACCATGGAAAGGATTAATCCTTGGTGATGGCGTAGATAGCATATATGATTCCAGGGAGATAACCAAATATTGTCAGCAGCAAACAGATCCAGAATTCCAACTGTACATAACATTCATTTCAACACCCAAATGTTAATTTATTTGAAAATATTTTATTGAAAATTAAAAATTATATTTCACCAAAAATAAAAATTAATTGACACTAAAAGATTAACAGGAACTACAATTCTCTAACTAAGCATGCACTGAGAAAAATCACACACACACACACACAGAGCACATATATATCATAATATGTATATATATATACTTAATGAAAAATAAATTAAAAACGATTTACTAGAAAACAAAAATGAAAAAAATAAAAAAATAAATATATATAATATAATATGGCATACCTTGCAGCCAAACTTGAGAAAGACACCAAGAGGAGGCAAAATAATAGCCAAAATAATATCAATACAAGTTGCAGCACCCATTTTTCCCTTTGAATTATTTCTTTGATTAATTTAACACTTAAACAAAAGGATATATCAAATATTAGTAAGAGATAGAGGTTACGTATTTATAGGAGAAATATCTTCTCAATGGCCGATGCCACGTGGCGAGTGATGAATGGTGAGTGCTGTTTAGGCCGGACAGCTATGCTATTTCTACTTTCTATACAATATAAAAAAAGGGATAATTAGCAATACCCCCCTCATCTAGGTAAATGAGTTAAGAAAAACCCCCCTCCCAAAAATAATTAGAGAAAACCCCCTTACCTAATATTTTACCCAAATATTATTTAATAATTCCCAAACCACCCTTTCTCACTCTTATCTCTTCTCTCTCTTTCTCTCTCTCTCTCTCTCCTCTTTCTCTCGCACACATAAAAACACACACACACACACACACACACAAATTCGTACGGCAGGGTATCGATCATGGCCTTGCCGTCGCATTAGTTGACGGAGCACGACGAGCCCTTGGCGGCGGCGGCGCCCATTAGGGGGTGGTGGGAATTGGCGTCGGAGGAGGAGTCGATGACTTTGTCCATGAGGTGGGCGCGGGTGATGCTGTTGAAGCCGCCGGTGAAGAGGGAGTTGGAGACGAACTGCTCCTCCACTTTTTGGGCGGAGCCGGGGTTGTTGCCGGTGGTGTTGTTGTTGGGCTGGTTGTCAGGTGTGGGCGGCATCTGGACAGTGTAGTTGAGGAAGTCGTTGCTGCCGAGTTCGCTGTCCAGGTCGTCGTGTGAGTAGCTGACGTAACGGCCGGAGGAAGTGCGGCGGGCGATCCCTTCTCCAAAGTCGGTGTTGAGCATATCGGAAGGTTAATTTAAATAGAATTTATTTTTTAATCGACTATGTACATGTTCATAGTCGATTAAGCTAATCGACTATGTTCTGGTATTCGATTAAGGTTGATCGACTCCAGTTCTTTTTATTTTTTTTGGATTTCTTGTTTATTGTTTCAATTGTATAAATCATTTATAACGTTTGTATATTTTTTTTTTCTTTCTAAAATATAGTTGATTTTGCATTTTTTCGCAGTTGTAATTTGTTATGTTTAGTAGCAGATTCTTAATCGACTATGCTTCATCATAGTCGATTAATACACCTGATATAGAAAAATAAAATTAAAAAAACAAAAAAAAAATTAAATAATTAAATAATTTCCTTAATCGACTATGAAGCATAGTCGATTAAGGCTTAATCGACTATGCTTCATAGTCGATTAAGAAAAAAAACGGAAAAAAAAAAAAAAATAATTGCTGAGCGTGACCCAGTGATGATGTGGCGGGTGGGGACAAAGCTGGAAAGCATAATGGCTGAAAATGGGTGTGGACTTTTCTCAAATGGACTAAAATATTTTGGGCCTCCCTCAATTAAAAAAAATAATGAGGGGGTTTTCTCAAAGAGCCCCATAAAAAAAAGTCTTTTTTCTTTTAGTTTAATTAAACGGGCAATGCGCTGTCGTAATGAGGACATAATTGATATTGGGTCGGATCTTCCACCGACACCTCGCCTAATATCTATCTATCTGTTTTTCAACCTTGTCATTTTGTAGAACCTATTTTATCAGATATATATTGCATAACTTGATTTCTTTCAATGTTGTAAAAAACGAGAATCGGGATGGAGAGATGATTAAGATCATCAGCGGGTACTTATTTATAAAGAAATCCGCGTAAAAAACTTATTTACCAATAAATTCATACTTGGTCTAGATTTTCGTAAAGAACTAAAATACTTCCTCATACTTTAATATGCTCTAATTTTATACTTAACTTAATTTAACCTCAATTTGACCACAAATTTCACAAATTATTTAATTTTGACCCAAAACTTTCTTTTTTCAAAAAAAAAAAAATTTCTCGCCGGATTCCGGCGTTGACTTTTCAAATATATATTTTTTTCTTCCAGATTTTCCGCCGGTTTCGACGTTGACTTTTTCGAATTCTTTTTTTTCTTTTCTTTCTTTCTGTAACTTTTTTTTTCGTTAAACAGCGATATTGCTGTGATTGACAGTAATATTAACTCTATTACTGTTAAACACTGTAAAATTAACTATACTACAGTTTAACACAATAATATTGTTATATTAATCTCTAGCATAGTAATATTAACACAACAAAACTCGTTAGTATTGTGTAATAGAGTAATATTACTATGTTGACCGTTCAACAAATGTAAACATCATAAAAAACCAAAAGAATTAATATTACTGTGAGTGACAGTAATATTAGTATAACAACAGTAATATTACCGTTAACCACAGTACTATTACAATAATAGACAGTAATATTATTACGTTACTCCGTGAATAACTCAAACAAAACAAAAAACCCAAAAACATAATAATATTGATGTTGTTGACCGTAATATTATTGTGTTTACAGTTATTTTATTGTCAACGACAGTATAATATAATTACGTTGACTTGTCAACAAAACAAAACAAAAAAATAATAATACATTAATTTAATGTCAACGGCAGAACAATTACGTTAATTAACTGTCATTGATAGTATAATTATGTTAATTTACTGTCAGTGACAGCACAATTACGGTCAACGTTTAGCAGCGGACGTAAAAAAAAAAAAAAAAAACTGAAAAAAGTCAACGCCGGAAACCGGCGAAAAAATTCGAAAGAAAAGAAAAGAAAGGAACAAAAAAAACAACGGCGGAGACCGGCGAAAAAATACGGAAGAGAAAAAAAAATCGAAAAGTCAACGCCGGAGACCGGCGTTGACCGTCGGAATCCGGCGGCAAAATATTTTTTTCTGAAAAAAAAAGTTTTTGAAAAAAAGAGTTAAAATTGGATTTTTGTGGTCAAAATTGGATTTTTGTGAATAAAATTGATTAAATTGGGGTTACAATTAAGAATAGGGTATAAAGGGTTGGGGGTAATATTGTCATATACATAAATGTTTCCTTTATTTATAATAAATATTAAAATGATGGATTATTGGTGAAAGAGAGATAGCCCCTAAACCTAAATAATAAAGATGTTTGGTTGGGGAGTTGTGTACAAAAACCCCTTAATATAATATATTTTTATATATTATTTAAAAGGGATAATTAGTGAAAACCCCCAACTTATTTATTTATATTAAGGTGGATATAACCTCATTTTCATTATTAGTGAGACCCCCACCTTATATTAAGTATACATTTTTTTAATTAATAATTTGACATGACTAATATACCAAATTTGCCTTCTATGTTATATCTAAAATATCATAACATATTTCACGTTCTCTCTATTTCTCTTATTCTCCTCTCTCTGTTCTTTCTAAAAACTGTCGCCTCCAACCCTCTGCCATCTCTGCGCCTCCATCGTTGCGCTCCATACCACCGCCCTTGTATCACCCATTGTCTTAAGCTCTATTTCGCTCTGTCTACTCTTTTCTCCCAACGGCGTTTGTCCCTCCATCGCCGCGAAAAGAAGGCGGTCTTCACTCCTGAAATTCTCTCGTCAAGGACATCATTAGAGTTTTCGCTAGGGAGAATGACGAGACTATGCAGCGGCACTAGGGATGATATTGCGTATGAGATTTTAATAGAGACGAACGCCAGCATTGTTTCATTGTTGTTGTTGTACTTCTTCTCTGATTTTTTTGGAACCCAATTCTCGAATCTGAATTTTCTTACTTGGAGTTTTTGGTTGAATTCTTATATTGCACGCTAATTTTTGTATTCAATCGATAGTATAATGGATGTTTGTTTTTTATTGAAATTGTGTTGGTGTTATTTACAGATATATAGATATTTTCGTACAACAATATAATTATTTTCGTACAGCAATATAGTTGTTTTTATTTGATTTTAATAAATAATTGATTTAACAAATAGTTGATTTTGATAAATGAGAGTTGTTGGAGATATATAGTTTTTTTAATCATAATTGTTTTAATAGTAGTTGTTTTTAATAGTAGTTGTTTTATTGAAACATAGTTGTTTTAACTGAAGACAAAAAAATATAATAAAAAATATATTTTTTAAATATAATAGAAAGTTAAAAAAAATTAATATGATTTTTTAAATAGGAAATAAATAAAAAAACGAAAACTAAAATTAAAATATAAAAAATAAAAAGTGAATCAATGTAGTGTATAATAGGCCGTGAATAGAGGAATGGTAAATTTGGGAATAAAAAAAGATGGATCTTTCACTAATACAGGAAAATGTATTGGATCCATCCTCATTAAAATAATGTTAGAGAGGTTCTCATTAATAACTCTTGTTTATAAATACTTAAACATGTATAAAAATATATTTAAAACATAAGTATATTCTCACCAACTATATATCTACTCACAAAAATAAAACTTTAATAATAAGATTATAATATATTAAAAACCAATACAAAATACAAATAAAACGAAAATCTTTTGCATGAAAAAATTATGCTTGAATATTGCAAGGATATATCATTAGGTTCTTTAAATATAAAAATTAATATAAATAAAATAAAGTATAAAGTATAAACTCGTTCTTATTAAAAATCCAACTGTTTTTTGGGTTTAATAACAATTAAAAAAAAAAAAACAACCAGCAACAAGAACAATTTTTGACCCGCCTCAAACCGCTTCACAGGCCAAAACCTTTTTTTTCCTCACTTTTATATCAAAAACATAAGGGTAAATTACAAACACCCCCTGAGGTATGGTCAAATTACAAAACCCCCCCTCTTGTTTGGATAATTACATCTACCCCCCTCAACTATGATTTTTTCTTACACCTCCACCCTTATTGTGCCAAATTCAATATAATCATCTAGATTTCGTGGAATGTGCTCTAGTTTGTATTCGTTTTGTGTAAAAATACAGTTTCCGATGCACTAAAAACTGATATACACAAGCTAAAAATCACGTATTATGATCATCTTACTTCATAATGTAGAGTTTGAATGGTATAAAACGGACACAAAAGTGATAATATTTCATATAATCTCGAAGATTCCACTAAATTTGAAGAGCTGAGGGGGTGGTTGTAATTATCCAAACTAGAGGGGTGTTTTTGTAATTTGACTATACCTCAGGGGGGTGTTTGTAATTTACCCAAAACATAAAGGTACTAGACCACCTGCTCCTCGGAAACCGATTAATCGACCGCTCAACCGATTTTTAGAACACTAGTTTTTTCACATAGTAACTAAGTACATAACGTATATGTATAAAGTGGTTAGATTTTTAGACATTGGTTGTAATAAAAAAAATAGATATTTATTTATATTTACTTGAATCAAAGATATTTAATTCTAAGGAAAACGATAAATACATGATTAGTTTTAGTCAACACAACACTTTGCTTCTATAATAAACTTAAAAATTTACTCATTTTTCTACAAGTTTTCACGAGATATTATTTAGTTGAAAGAGAGGCGATTGAAACTGAAGAATGGAAGAGTATGTCAACATGTCCTGTAATTCTCCTAATTATTAAATAAATAAAAAATGTATGCTAATTCCAAACAAATAATCTAACAAATTATAATAACTTTTCAAGCGTATCAAATAATTGTATGCCATAAAATTTGTATAAGTCAATTTATAGATCAATATCATGATGGTTCAGTTCTAAAATATTAAACCCATTATTAACTAAAACGTCCCTCAATATGCATAAATAAATTGAAAACATAATATATAACTAATTAGATTATAATTCTTTTCAAAAAAAAAAAAAAAAATACCAACACACAAATTTAAAACATAATATATATATACAAAGATTCAAATTTGTTCCAAAGTACAGCACAACATAACTAACTTAACCAACAACATTGCGGAAATCGAGTTAACTTCCATTTACGATCAACACAAACACCCATACCATAATCATAGTAGGTAACTAATTACTATAATTATCTTCTTCTTCTTTTAATATATAAAATAAGCTAAGACACCATTCGAAAATACGAGACAGCTCTCTTAACTTCCACAAGCCAAGCAATCGTCGCGGTTTGTTAACGAGCACACTATTTGTTCCAATTTAGAATTGTCATCCTCAACTTTCACCGCAGGTTTATCCTGCAAAACCGATCGCCATTAAGTTTAATTACGCAATTAAATATACAATTAACGGGGGTAACGCAATTAAATATACAATTAACGGGGGTAATTAAGAAAATTTTATTACACTTGCCGGGAAGAACCTACCTTTATCATTGTAGTGTCGACTGTGAATTTGATAGCATCGGCTGCAGCACGTGATCTTAGGTAGTACATTCCTGTCTTCAAACCCTTCGTAACCCAACAAAGATTATAAATTTACGAAGATTAGCGAAGTCGATAAATAATCGAAAATAAAATTTCAAAAGAACATAAAAATAAGATAATTAAGTAAAAAATTAAGTATAGTTTTTTTCTTACCCTAGACCAGGCATGGAAGTGGAGGGAAGTAAGCTTTCCGAAATTAGGTTGGTCCATGTGGATGTTTAGGCTTTGACTCTGGTCAATGAAGCATCCACGGTCAACAGCCATATCGACCAATATTCGTTGTTTGATCTCCCAAACAGTCCTAATTAAAAAAATAATAATTAGCATGAAAAAGAAATTATATATATATACAAAGAAGAACATATTGCAGCTCGTGCGTACTTGTATATGAGTTTAAGTTCTTGAGAAATCTCCGGAATATTCTGAACAGAACCATTCTCGTAAATTATTCTGTTCTTAAGTGAAGGAGACCAAAGACCCGTTTCGGTCAAATCGTGAAGAAGATGCTTGTTCACGACAACAAACTCGCCACTGAAAAAAACCAACGATTAGTTACATTTGGAATCATGGCAGATATTTCGAAAAATTATGAGTTAAATAATTGACCAAAAAAAAAACAACCTGAGAACTCTGCGGCTATAAATATTTGAAGTGTACGGTTCAAAGCACTCGTTATTCCCGAGAATCTGGCTCGTAGAAGCAGTGGGCATCGGTGCAATAAGAAGTGAATTTCTCACTCCATTATTTGCAATTGTTTCCCTAAGCGCTTTCCAATCCCATCTATCTGAAGGCTTCACTCCCCACATATCTGGCTGCAGAATTCCCTGATTTTTACAAAACCAACGTTATTAATTTATAAATAAAACGACCCCATTTATTAATTTTTTATTTTTTTTTAGATTCTAAAAAGATCGATTGAGAAATACCTTGCTTACAGGACTTCCACTGTATGTTTCATAAGGGCCGTCTTTTTGAGCTAGTTCACAAGATGCCTTTAATGCATGGTAGTATATAGTCTCGAATATATCCTTGTTCAACTGCTGAGCCTGCACCAGACAATTAATTTAATTTTAGTTATGTCATATATAAAAACATATGTAACTGTAATAGCTCAGACGGAAGCTTTTTACCTCTGGAGAATCAAATGCCATGCCGAGTAACATAAACGTGTCTGCAAGACCCTGTACACCAATTCCTATCGGCCTGTGACGCATATTAGACCTCTTTGCAGTTTCGACTGGATAATAATTTACGTCGATTATCTTGTTAAGGTTTGTGGTAACTAAAGCGGTGACCTGCACAAATTAAACAATATTTATTATTACAAATAAAAATCAAACTCAATAAGGAGTTTGATAAAAGGAAAATATCACACCTCAGCCAGCTTATCGAAATCAAAATATCGACTTTTGGAACCTATGCTGCCAACTAGCTTCGTCGGTTGTGCTTCCATCGGCACACCCTGCCAAAACAAAAAAAGAACAATTTTTTTTCGATAATTAGTAAATAAACATATTTAAAATGAGTAATTTATTTTATGTGCCTGATAATAATTAATAACCTTCTCTCTAACGTAACGTGGTAATGCAATTGATGCGAGGTTGCAGACGGCAGTTTCTGTTGGACTTGTGTACTCGATTATCTCGGTACACAGGTTTGAGGACTTTATGGTGCCGAGATTCTGCTGATTGCTTTTTCTATTACACGTATCCTGGAAACAATAATAAGTAAAATAATCTAAGACAGCTAAAAAGATAAACTAAGTAAACAACAACAACCGTGAAACATTGTCGTAATTGTTCACCTTATACAACATATAAGGAGTCCCTGTTTCGATTTGAGACGTCAAGATTTCGAACCATAAAGTCTGTGCATCAACAACCTTCTTCGCCTTTCCCTGATTCCGAAAATAACATAACTTTAAAAACCACTCATTGAACATTTAAAAAAAATTAAAATTGTGTATATAAATATCAGTTTGGAGTTATTACCCGTCTCTCGTAGTCAGTGTATAAAGCTTCAAATTCCGCACCCCAACAATCAGCTAAACCAGGAGACTCATTAGGACAAAACAGTGACCATTTTGCATTAGACTGAACTCTTTTCATAAATAGATCAGGTACCCATAGTGCAAAAAACAAATCTCTGGCACGATGCTCCTCCTAAACATAAATAAACGGAAAATATAAAACTGGATTTTTCTATATATTCGACAGAGATCAAATGTATCTAAACTAAGTAGTATATATATATATATATATATATATATATATATATATATATATATATATATATATATATATATATATATATATATATATATATATATCGAGTTAATAATTTAACATATTTTCACCGAGTCAGGACCGATAGAAACTATAATTTAAGCGAGGTTATTAATTTATCGAGGTTCTACTGTATATATACCTTTCCGTGATTTTTCCGCAAATCAAGAAAGTCGGAGATATCAGCATGCCACGGCTCGAGATACACAGCAAAAGCACCTATTCACAATCACATAAAAATAAGAGAATGTCGAAAATTAATAGTAATGATAAAATGTTCTTACGACGTTGGAACAAAAAAGAATCGATTGCGCAAACCTTTCCTCTTGCCACCACCCTGATCCACGTACCGAGCGGTGTCGTTGAAGACTCGAAGCATCGGAACAATGCCGTTGGATGTTCCATTTGTCCCACGTATATAACTTCCAGTAGCACGTATGTTATGAATAGACAAACCGATGCCTCCTGCTGATTTGCTAATTACAGCGCACTCCTTCAACGTATCGTATATTCCCTCAATGCTATCCTCTTTCATACATATAAGAAAGCAACTGCTCAACTGTACACCATTGCAGGGGGGAGAACAACATATGTTAGCAAGTAATAAGAAAAACATGTCAAAATCGTAAATCTTAACAAATAGTGGATCATAAGAGTTTGAATTCTTGTTGAAAATAATTATAAATTTATATATATGTGCTTATTTAATGTTATAATAAGTAATAACCCTTCAAAAAAAAATTACATAGCAATGGTTAAACGGTGAACAATAGTTAGTTGTAAAAGAGAATTTATTTTTATCATTGAGTCAGAAGTGTAAAGAAATATTTTTATTTTGAGCCAGTTAAATACTATCTAACTCATTCTCCTTTTAAGTATTTTAGTAAAAAAATTATAGTTTGACTCAAAAAGTTCTTATTTAATTTATGTTTTATATATATTTTTATTTATTTGATTTTATTTCAAACAAGATGGTATATTTTATTTTTAACACCAACCATAATATACATTGGGAATCATAAAAATCGATTGAATCTTAATATTTGTATAAAATCACAGCAAATCGTGAAAAATAAATATAAGTGTGTCAATTCGAATTTTTCTAACCATTACAGAGGATCTAACATGCATATGTATATCTATGTATATATATATTTATATCATGTGTGTGTAAGCATAACTAGGTAGTTATCACGAGAAAACGTACTTGTGGCCTTGGTGTTCCAGCATTGAAAAGGGTGGGAGATGCATGAGTGAACCACCGTTGAGACAAAAGATGATACGTTTTAATAACTGCATCGATATCATCTTTGTGGATACCGACAGAAACTCTCATCAACATGTGTTGTGGCCTTTCAACAACCTTCCCTTGGACCTTTAAAAGGTAAGACCTTTCGAGGGTTTTAAAACCAAAGAAATCATATTCGAAGTCTCTGTCGTATATTATCTCGCTGTCGAGTCGCGTAGAATTCTGCCGAAAGGAGAATTTGAAAACAAATATTATTAACTTGGAAAGAGATGTAAACTCAATAGAAAATAAATCATTTAAAAAACAAATATCGATTACGCTTAACAGAAATCGTATAGAATTATAGCCATCTATAAATCAACAAGGATTGTGGATTAAACACTACAGTTGAACCTCTATAAATTAATACAATCGGGACTAGGGAAATTCTATTAATTTAGCGAATTATTAAATTATCGAGTAAATAATTTAACATATTTTCACCGAGGTTATTAATTTATCGAGGTTCTATTGTATTAGGTGAAGAACATGTACCTTCATTATTATCTCGTAGACATCATCTGCAATCAAAGGAGCAGTTAGTCCCGACCTCTCACTAACATGGTTGTACATATCTTTGATCCTGCAGTAAAATACGCAAGTGTTTGATTCAAAAACTAAAATTAGATTTTTTAATTAATAGCAGTATATGCTAACAGTTAGATTTACTTACGTTTCGGAAAATGACTTCTTTGTATTCTTGTGAAGATTCGAAACAGCAATCCTTGCAGCCAACTGCATAATTTTCAGATCATATTCAAACCATTCCCAAAAATGTTACTATAACCGATTAATTAGAAACAAAATTCAATCGGCCAAAAAGGATACAAACAACGCTCAAGATATCAATCAGATCACAAGTAAATCTCACAAATCAGACACAATTGAAATAAATCCTCGCATTTTAAGAAGAAAAAAATGCGGAATTGAACTCACGGAAGCGTAATCAGGGTGGTTGGCGGTCATGGCGGCAGAGGTCTCGGCGGCCAATTCATCGAGCTGGCTGGTGGTTACGCCTTTGTATACGCCGGCGCAGACTTTCTGGGACACCAAAACCGGGTCGCAGTGCTCGCTGCTCAGCCCATAGCTGAGTTTCTTTAGCCTCGCGGTTATCTTGTCGAAGTGCACCGTCTCCTGCCTTCCGTCCCTCTTCACCACGTACATTTTCGCTGCCGATTGTCGATATTCCGTTCACTGCGGACTTTCGTCGAACAGGTAACGAGTGCAGACACTGACAAGTTTTTGAAGAAAATTCTTCGAGCAGGAATAAATAAAAGGGTTATCGTATATGTATGTTTTATATAGTGGTAGGGTTTGAGGAATTTTCCCTCTAAATCTGTGAATTTGACAAAGTTTTGAAGTTTCCCGCTCAAAAAGGTAGGTGGGTGTTTAAATATTTTGGGTTGGCTTTCAGAACAAGCTTTGGAGTTGGGATTGGCTTTCAGAACAAGCTTTCAAGTTGGGACCCATCACCGATCGATTTATGGTTTCTTCTTCTTTTTTCTTTTTTCTTTTTTCTTTTTCTATTTTTCCTTTTACTGTTTAGATAAAATCTATTTATTTATAATAAAACAAAATAAAGAACCTATTTTAATGAGTATATAAATATATATATATATATATATATATATATAATTTTTAATTTTTTGGGGGTTTTTATGCATAAGGGCATCTCCAACCTTCTGGTTTTGGGAAACTAAAAGTTATATTTTAACACTTTTACCATTTTCGAATAAAAAAAGTTTGTTTGAACAAGAGTAGTATAATTTAGGGTTTTTTGCAAGAACCACCCCTGTGTAATCTCTAATTGCTGAAAAACCCCTTGTGTTAAAAAAATTAGCAAGGACCCCCCTATGAAAGTTAGTCAAAGGCAATAAAGACCCTCTGAGCTCGACGTGAGATACACTCGCGGTTTGTGCGATTGGGCATTTGTTTTTGGACGAGAAAAGACCAAAATATCTTTTAAAAATATATTCCGCAAATTACAACTTCACCCCAAAATTACAGGCCCAAAATGAAAGTTTTCATATTTTTTAATCAAGTCCCTAATGTTTTCAGAAATGCCCTCTTCCTCACCATCCAACATTATTAAAAGTATCAACAGTCCAAAATTGAGAAGCAGAATCCCTACAATCCATCCACGATAGTTTGATTTTCCATGATTTAGTTTGTGAAAATGGAGAAATCATGAAAAAAAAAAACACAAAACACACACACACACACCAAAAATAGTAGACTTTGTTGCAATTTGCTTCCCCTCTCTGCAACTTCATCCATTTTGCTTCGATTCGCAAGCTTCTCACCATTGCAACCACTTATCTCTCGTTCCTAGACCGCAAGTGCCTGTGTAGTGGAAGGGGCAGGGCTGATGGAAGGTGGTCTTTGGTTGGTGGCGGTCGTCGGCTGATGGTGGAGGCGAATATTTCGCCGATGGGCTAGGCGGTGATGAGGCCGGAGGACAAAATGGCGGAGATTCGGAAGGTGAGATGGAATCGATGGCGGTGGGTTCGGGAGTTGCAGCTGGGCATTATGACGGGGAAGAACATTATATATATTTTTCTTTTTTTTTTTGTTAGTTTTTCTTTTGTTTTTCTTAATTTTGTTTATAGTAGATAAATTCATTGGGGGTAAAGTAGTAATTTTTTATAAGTCAACTGCCCATTTTAATATTAAGGGGCGATGTGCTTTGTTAAAAACAATATAGGGGGGTCTGTGCTAATTTTTATAACATGGGGACTTTTTCGCCCATTTGAAATTACACAGGGGCTTATATGCAATTAGCTCGTATAATTTACATGGCATGTAAAAATTGAAGACTCGTATGGTATTAGTAAATATATATTATAATAATACTAAACATGCCACGACTCCCTGCAAAGTGGTCAGAATGAAAGCCAAGTACAAATATATATTATATTCAAATAACAAAATTAATAAAATATAATAAAATCGTACATTATAAATAATGTGGTTGGAGGTGGTGGTAAAAAGTAGGCTTTTAAACCACTGTTCAAATGCTAAAAAAACTATAACATGTCCTAAATATCTAACCAACTAATGTTTTTAAGGTTTTAGATTCTCTAAATATCTAACCAACCATTTTTACTATTCTAGGTTTATACCATTAACATATATTAGGGGTTATATCTCTTTTGTCAATAAGTATATCCATTTAATATGTAGCGAGACCCCACATTTTTTGTAATAGTACCAAACTCACTTTGTTATTTGCATTTGAGAGACCCCTTAACTTTTCATAATTCCATTTTACCCTTACACTATTCCAATTCTCCATCCTTCTTACCCATTACCTATATATCCTTTTAATTTCTTTCTTTTTTTTATAATAAATTGATTTTTTAATAAATTAATTTTGTAATAAATTCTTCCTTTTTTTCTGGTAGATTTACCACATCGTAAACAGCTACAAATTACAATAATCAACTACAAAATTTCAATACGACTACGATTTATAACAAAAACAACTATAAAAACACCTCAATTCAACTATCAATTTTAGCAACCAACTACAAACAATAATTTATGGTAATCAACTACAATTTATTGAAAACAACTACAAAATCATAAAAGTCAACTACAAAATATCCAAATCAACTACAATATTATCGAATCCTACTATGAAAAATATCGAAATCAACTACAAATTACCGAAACCAAACAAAAAAAACAACTCTAATTTATTAGGGCGTCGGAGCTAGATCGGCCATTTTTCGCCGCTGGAAACAACTAAATGAAATATACGTAAAATCAGCAAAAACCCACGGCGTTTCAAGTACAACATGAACCGCCGGAGAGACTCCTCCATCGTCACTCCCCAATTCGACAACCTCCTCCTCCTCCTCCTCCAATAACTAGTGCATGCATGACTCGAACTTCGCTTCTGAAATCCCATCTCTCTTCCCCCCGTGCCGGCGTTGCTCTCCGGTTGTTGTAGAGGGCGATGACATTGACGTGGGCGCGGCAGCTGTGGTTGAGATTGGTGAGCGAAGTGGCGGCGGCGTAGGAATTCGCGGCGGCGTTTTATTCGGGGGAGAATGCTAGTTTCTAGAGAGAAGGGACTGTTTTTGGCGGCTTGCTTTTGATTGTTGAAGATGAGGAGTAATTCGTCTGGGTGTCTGTTGGGTGCTAAATACCAACACGCAAGTGCACGTATCGCAAACAAGTAATAAAGTGGACTCGTGAGAGTCGGATGTCGATCCCACAGGGAATACTCAAATTATCTATTCCTAAGTACCAAATTCTAACAATTATGATTTTTATCCAGCCTACGCAAAGTTGTCAAATAAAATCAATTAAACAATTAAACTAATTATGAAAGCAATTAAACAAGAAAGAATATCAATATAAAAACGGATCTAGGATTTTATCTTCCCCCTATGCAAGAATTGCTCACCCAAAACCCCTCAATTATGAAATATATGATTCATGATTATTAACCCGAGACACTAATTTACTCATAACCCGCTGTCGCGTGTATTATGAGTCTATTATTCATAAACGATTCACTATATGTCTATGCAAACCAATTATAAATAAAGCATTAACTAACAAGTCTCGTAAATGGCTATCTAAGGCGATATCTGTATGTCTACGACACCACATGCAATTGACACACTCATCCGGTGAAAACTACTCGAAGGCTCTTCTACTTACCGTCTAATTATCAAAATAGCTTTGTCGAGTCAATCCCAATAATCACAGATAAAGCACATAAATTGATCAAGTTCATGCACTAACAATCATAACAAGTAGAAGAAATAATCATAAAATCATAATTGCATAATCTCAAGAAAAAGGGTTCGCAATCCCTACATAGGTATCCAACAAAATCCTAGATTAAAAACTTAGCTACGCATGTTCGTTACGAAAAACATAATAAAAATACGAAAAATCATAAAACTATAAATAACAATAAAAGAGGAGAACTATGATGAAGATTCGTCAAGTCTTCGTCTTCGTTCTTGTGCTCCTTGATTGCGTGTAGAAAGATGAAAGACAAAAACTAAAGCTAAAGATAAAAGGTAGAAAGATGTATCTAATTGTGTGCTTGTGGCCTTTAAATAGGGTGCAAAACTATAATAGGGCGGGTTTCCTTGTGTAATTAGGATTCCTTCACTGCGCCAATTCGACCATCCGGACGGCCGTGTGAGATTTATGCCTAAAATCCGCACGGCCGTGCCAAAAGCTGGTTTTGGGCAGTAGCCTTCCCGAATCTCACACGGCCGTGTGAAATTCCTGCCCTTTTCTTGCACGGCCGTGTGAATAATTGCAATTAGGTCCCTGCAAAATAAAAACTTCCTATTAGTGCCCCTAAAACTTTTTTTTTTTTTTTTTTTTTTTTTGAAAAATAAAATAAAATAACAGCCAAACTAAAAATTTAAAATAACATAAAATACAAAAAACGAAAGCTCGGGTTACCTCCCGAGAAGCGCTAAGTTTACAGTCTTCAGCCAGACTTTGTTCTTGCTCTTCAATTCCTTAGCTTTTGAACCCATTTTCTTACTTCCTTTTGGAGAAAGTCTTGAATAAATGGGTTGATCCGATTCTTCTTTCGACTGGTTCGCTTAGGAATGCCCTTGAATTTATTCTTCTTGATGTCATGAGGCTTACCAACATCGTCTTTTATCACGGTGTTTTGAGTAGGTGTTGTAACCAACTCAACCCTTTTCTTTTGTTCTCCTACATGCACATTAGTATCCACAACAAAATTTAAATCATGTAATTTAACAGTAAACAGTTTAGAATCACTTACCTCATCAAGAAGATAACATCCATTAGCCGTAATAGGCTTTTCATCCACCCGGTACACCTTGAAGATCACTGTTTCTTCCCCCACACTCATTCTTAGCTCTCTCTTTCCTACATCAATAATTGACCTACCGGTTGCTAAGAATGGGCGTCCTAAAATAAGGGGAATATTTTCATCTTCCTCTATGTCTAGTACTAGAAAATCGGCCGGGAGTATGAACTTATCTACCTTGACCAATACATCTTCAACTATACCTAAAGGGTGAGTAAAAGATCTATCGGCTAGCTGCAAGGTCACGGAAGTAGGCTTAATTTCTCCTAAATTCAATTTCTCATAAATTGATAAAGGCATTAAATTTACGCTCGCCCCTTGATCACACAACGCCCGCCCAAAATACCTAGTACCTATTGTGCATGGAATGGTACAACTGCCCGGATCTCTAAGCTTCGGTGGAATTTTATTTGCAAGGATAGCACTACTTTGCTCATTGAGGTCTATGATTGCTGCACACTCCGGAAGCCTCATCTTCTTCGATACAAGTTCCTTTATAAACTTAACCCAATTCGGCATATGCTTAAGCGCCTCAACAAAAGGAATATTAACATGCAATTTTTTAAGATAATCCAAAAATGACTGAAATTGCATATCAAGCTTGGAGTTTTGAAAACGTTGAGGGAAGGGTACCTTGGGAGTAGATTCACTTACTGCGATCTTTGTGTTGCTTGGCCCGACCTCGGTCTTTTCTTTGGGCTCCTCTACAATAGGCGGTGGTGCAACGGACTTTTTAGGACCTTCCTCTAATTGCCTCCCATTTCGCAAAGTTACTGCATTGCACTGCTCGATGTTGCTCTTTCGAGGATCTTCCGTATTCGACGGCAGTGCTCCCGACGGCCTCGCGTTTAGCTGGGTTGCAAGTTGACCCATTTGTGTCTCAAGGTTCCGAATGGATGCTTGGGTTGACGTCATGAATTTCGCTAAGATATCAGCGAGGTCTACTTCTTGGGCCGGAGCTTGAGGTGGATTTTGGAATCCGGGAGCTGGCCTTTGTCCTTGTTGATTTCCTCCCCATCCAAAGTTGGGGTGATCTTTCCATCCCGGATTATAAGCGTTGGAGTACGGGTTCCTCTGTTGTCGATTAGTGTCATGTACATAATGTAGAGACTCCGTTTCTTCTACGCACTGGTTGGGAATTTGGGCTGCATGGACTTGCTGAGTTTGCAATGCTGCTACTTGCTTTGATAGCTTCTCTAATTGGGCAGTGATTGCGGTGACCCCGTCTAACTCTAAAATTCCTCCCGTCTTATTGGCTCCGCTATTTGACCGGTCCGATGCCCGCATGTATTTGTTCCTTGCGATCCGCTCCAAAAGTTCGTAAGCTTCATCATATGTCAAGCTCATGTACATACCGCCAGCTGCTGAATCGAGCACCGTTCTCGAATTATCTTGCAACCCGTCATAAAATATTTGAAGTTGCCGCCACTCTTGAAGACCATGATTGGGGCATCTCCGAATTAATTGTTTGAACCGCTCCCACGTCTCGAATAACGCTTCACCGGCATCTTGTATGAAATTTTGTATTTCTCTCCGGATTCTCTCAGTTTTTGTTGGGGAGTTGTATGTGTTCATGAAGAGTTGTGCTAGTTGGGACCAAGATGAGATGGAGTGTGGTGCACGAGTTTGTAACCATTCTCGGGCTGCCCCTTGTAAAGAGTGCTTGAACAGGCGGAGTTGCAGTGCTTCGGGTGATACTCCGTTCATCTTGTGCGAATCACATGTTTCGAGGAAGTTGACCAAGTGGAGATGTGGATCTTCATGAGCTAATCCGCTGAATAACCCATTGTTTTGGAGCATAGTAAGGAGTCCCGCTCGAATTTCGAAATTGTTGGCTTCAATGGGGGGCTGCTGGATGCTCGATTGAAACCCATTGAGTGTTGGAACGGTGTACTCATGCAATGCTCGTTGACGAGGTGGTGGATTAATTAGCAGAAGTTGCTCTTGCTCGTTGACGATATTTCCTGCCGCATTCGGTAGGTGCCCTTGGTCATCTCCCCTACGATTATTCTCTTCTTCCATTCGCATAAAAAGTACCTAAACAAAAATAATAAAAATAAAATAAGCAAAGAAAATAATTAAATAAAATAAATAAAACGACTGAAGTAAGAAAAATTGCTCAAATTTAATATTAGGATAAATAGATAATTTAGCCGTATTCCCCGGCAACGGCGCCAAAAAACTTGTTGGGTGCTAAATACCTAACACGCAAGTGCACGTATCGCAAACAAGTAGTAAAAGTGGACTCGTGAGAGTCGGATGTCGATCCCACAGGGAATACTCAAATTATCTAATCCTAAGTACCAAATTCTAACAATTATGATTTTTATCCAGCCTACGCAAGTTTGTCAAATTAAATCAATTAAACAACTAAACTAATTAAGAAAGCAAATAAACAAAAGAAAATATCAATAAAACTGACCTAGGATTTTATCTTCCCCCTATGCAAGAATTGCTCACCCAAAACCCCTCAATTATGAAATATATGATTCATGATTATTAACCCGAGACACTAATTTACTCACAACCCGCTGTCGCGTGTATTATGAGTCTATTATCCATACACGGTTCACTATATGTCTATGCAAACCAATTATGAATAAAGCATTAACTAACAAGTCTCGTAAATGGCTACCCAAGGTGATATCTGTATGTCTACGACACCACATGCAATTGACACACTCATCCGGTGAAAACTACTCGAAGGTTCTTCTACTTACCGTCTAATTATCAAAATAGCTTTGTCGAGTCAATCCCAATAATCACAGATAAAGCACATAAATCGATCAAGTTCATGCACTAACAATCATATCAAGTAGAAGAAATAATCATAAAATCATAATTGCATAATCTCAAGAAAACGGGTTCACCATCCCCACATAGGGTTCCAACAAAATCCTAGATTAAAAGCTTAGCTACTCGTAATTCTTATGATAAATAAAATAGAATTAATAAAAGAAATAAGAAAAACTATGCTTGAGTCTTCGTTGATCTTCGTTCTTCGCTCCTCTCGCTCCAAGCTTGTGTCCGAAAAAAAGTCCTTGATTCGTGCTTGGTTTGGTCTTAAATAGATGCCCCAACTTGGTAGATGATTTTAGGTTTCCTTGTGTGATTAAAAGTCCAAAATTGTGTCCAGCGTGTGTTGGCGCGGCCGCGCGAAAATCAGTGCAATTCTCGCACGGCCGCGCGAGAATCGTCGAACCTTCTGCCCAAATTCAGCATTTGGCACGGCCGTGCCAAAAATAGGCTAATTTTGGCACGGCCGTGCGGGCCTATTTTCAGCCAATTTCAGCATATTTTTGATCATTTCACTTTTGGCCCATATTTTCTCCAAATTTGCAGTTTTGACCCCAAACTTTTCCAATTCTTCAATTTATACCTAAAATACAATAAATCATCTTTTTAAGCACCAATTATCGTTAATTCACACAAAAAGCTCAAATAAACAGATACGATAAAGTGTAAAAATATACACTTAACAGTGTCGGATCGGGAATTACAGATTTTAGCGGAGGACGACCTCTATCTCTCCATGTTCCTCAACGAATCCGACTCCAACTTTGTGTGTATACGAACTCGCGACGGCGAATTGGAGAGGCAGAAGCGATAGTTACGGTGGAAGAGAGCAATGACAACGGTGGAAGAGGTGGCGGTGGTGAAAGATAGAAGAGAGAAAGGGAAGAGAAACAACGGAAGAGAAAAAGTGAAAAAGAGGCTGAGAATATTTCTAGGGTTAAATAAATTTAAAAGGATAAAAATTGGTTATAATTAACTATCAGAGGTATGTCAAGTCATAATATCATATGAGAGGGGTATGTCAAAATGTAAAAAAAAAGGAAATCAAAACCTTAAACAACTTGCAAAATAGAGTCAAATGACCATAAAATGGTAGTTTACGAGCAGGGGGACCCATTAAAGTATGTATCCATGTCTTTTTTGAGCTTAGAAGTTAATTTTGAAGATTTTTCTTAAACCCGCCATAGATTCTCGACACATACAGGTCGAATTTTTGATCAATTTTCGACACCAACTTGTCAAAAATTGTATTTAAGAAAAAAAAAAAATCGATACATACATGTCGAAACTTCTCAAAATATTTTTCGACATGTATGTGTTGAAAAAACACCGAATAAATTTTTTTTATCTTTTTTTATTTTTTTTAAGTAGCAATGTTTTTTCGACACATACATGTCGAAATTTCTCAAATTTTTGACATGTATGTGTCAAATTTTTTTGTTTGTTTTTTTAATTATTATTTTAAATACAATTTTCGACAAATTAGTGTAAAAAATTGACCAAAAATTTGACCTGTATGTGTCGAAAACTGTATGCGAATTTAAAAAAAATAATAATAAAAAATCGACTTTGAAGATCAAAAAAGACATGAATACATACTTTAATGGGTTTTCCTTCCATGTAAACCACCATTTTATTGTCCTGTGACTCCAATTTATAAGTTTTGTGACGTTTTGATATTTTTGAATTTTGAGATTTTTTGGAGGGTTTGTAAGAAAATGAGGAAGAAGAGAGGGTTGAGTTTGGATTTGGGGAGAAGAAGAGAATTTTTAAATTTTTTTTTTTAATTTTTGGTATTGAAATGAGGAAAAATATATATTTTTTTTGTATAAATTGTATTTTGTTTGATAAGAGATATTATAGTACTTTGCTCTTAAAAAGAAATTATTTGCTGTATTAATCTAAGAACAAAATGTAAAAACTTATCTATAATATGGTATTAAACTTGTTGGTATTCAAGCTAGAAAATTTCGGTATTAGCTATAGGGAACGACTAAATTTGAAATTTCCCTTTCTGCAAACGCAGTTAAATATATTTGAAAGAATAGAAACGAAAATCAATTGAAGTTTTATTTTATTTTCTTCTCCAGGAGCTTAAAAGAAATGGAGAACAAGTAGAATCAAAACTACAATTTCTCCCTCCAATCTCTGATCCAAAATACAAAATCAAACCCCCATACATTTCTCCACAAGAAAAAAAAGGTTCCATTTCTGTTGCTCCATTTCTTTATGAAAGCTCCATTCCCACAATCATTCCAATATATTTCTTCAACGCAACTCACCCAACTCTTCAACCGCGCGAAGAATCTGAATCATGCCGCCCAAATCCACGCTCACCTCATCACCGGAGATTACATTTCTTCCCCTTTCCTGTTCAACAATCTCCTCACCCTGTACTCCAAATGCGGCCACATTTCCCAATCACTTTCGCTATTTTCAGCTTCGAATTCAAGAACCGATTTTGACGGCACGAAGAATGTGTTCACTTACACATCCCTTATCGCCCACCTTTCTCGCTGCAATTTACCCTCTAAAGCTCTCGCCTTTTTTAATGAAATGAGGGTGAGGGGTATCTCACCCAACCATTTTACATTTTCTGCTGTTTTGCCGTCTTGTGGTGGTGCGGCGGTGGGGAGGCAGATGCATTCTTTGATACGTAAACATGGGTTTGAATCCGATGTGTTTGTGGGTAGTGCGTTGGTGGACATGTATGCGAAATCCGGAGAAATCATGTGTGCGTGGAGGGTGTTCGATGAAATGCCTGAGAGGAATCTTGTGTCTTGGAATTCTGTGATCGTTGGTCTTTTGCGGAACCGGTGTTATATCGAGGCGATTGATTTCTTCAGGATCTTGATTGGGGAGGATTTGATAAGACCTGATCAGGTGAGTTTGTCTAGTGTTTTGAGTGCTTGTGCTAATATATGTGGGGCTGCAATCGGCAGGCAAGTTCACGGAATCGTTGTTAAGAACGGGTTGGAGTATTTAGCTTATGTCAAGAATTCTTTAATGGACATGTATTCCAAGTGTGGAGTCTTTGACGATGCCGAAAAATTGTTTAGGACAATCGAAGACAGAGATGTAGTAACATGGAATGTTATGATGATGGGCTTTGTCCAAAACGGTAGTTTCGAGGAAGCTTGCAATTACTTTTGGATTATGAGACGAGAAGGCATATTCCCTGACGAGGTGTCGTTTTCGACCGTGCTTCACGCTTGTGCGGGCATTGCTGCACTCGATCAGGGCTGTCTGGTCCACAATCAGATAACGAAAACCGGATTTTCAGCAAATACATGCGTCGCCAGCTCATTGGTTACCATGTACGCAAAATGCGGTAGCCTCGTCGACGCTAGAAGAGCCTTTGCTGAAAATCAAGAACACAACGTGATATCATGGACCGCCATGATTTCTGCCTACCAACAGCACGGCTGTGCAGATCGGGTCGTAGAAATGTTCGATGAAATGCTGAAAGCTGGTATAAAGCCAGACTACATAACTTTCGTCTCTGTTTTATCTGCTTGTGGGCATACGGGGCGAGTTGACGAAGGGTTTTCTTACTTCAATTTGATGAGCGAGAGCTACAAAATGAATCCAGGGCTTGAGCACTATGCATGCATGGTTGATTTGCTCGGTCGAGCTGGCAGGTTGAACGAAGCTAAAAGATTTGTCGAAAAAATGCCGATCGAACCCGATATTTCCGTTTGGGGAGCATTGCTTGGAGCATGCAGAAAACACGGTGATATTGAAATGGGGAAAGAAGTTGCGGAGAGGCTTTTCCAAATAGAACCGAATAATCCAGGTAATTACGTTTTGCTTCGTAATATGTACGCTCGTGGAGGAAGATTAGAAGAAGCGAACGAAGTGGGGAGATTGATGGAGTTCAATAGGGTTAGAAAAGAGCCGGGGTATAGTTGGCTTGATGTGAGAAATATGACACATGTTTTTAAAGCTCACGATAGATCGCATTTTATGACGAACGAGATATATGAGAAGCTTGGGGAGTTGGAGGAAGTTGTGAGGAAGAAAGGATATGTGGCCGAGATTCAGTATGCGGTCAACGACGTGGGAGAGTACAAGGAGCGGAGCCTATGGTACCACAGCGAGAAGTTGGCGCTTGCTTACGGGCTTTTGAGCCTTCCGGTTGGGGCTACTATTCGAATCAAGAAAAACCTCCGGACGTGCGGCGATTGCCACACGGTTATGAAGTTTGCGTCGGAGATTTTCGAGAGGGAGATTATACTTAGAGATATTAATCGTTTTCATCGGTTTGCTGGTGGTCAATGTTCATGTGGTGATTATTGGTGAAAGTTTACTTATTTATTTATTTATTTTTTTGGCCTTATAAATGGTGAAAGATTGTCATTATCAAGAATTTTTTTGGTGACTGTAATTAACGACAAGTAGTGTTGAACTTCTTTTATTCATCTATTTTTGTCTTCTCACAAAGAGTACAATTATACAGAAAAATAAGAGAAATCCCAGAGAGCCATTTTTAGCAAGCTATGGAAAGAATATGTTGGACCCATGTGAGATGGGATTCTAATCAATCCCTACAAATCTGTTTTACAGCTCACGCCAACACTCCCTCTCAAGTTGGTGCTTGAACGCCCAACTTGTCAAGTGAGTTGTAGAAAATTCTGCTTGATGAAATGGAAAACAAATTATTCTATCTTCAAGGTTTTGTTTGATGAAATGTCGATCCACCTCAACATGTTTAGTCCGATTGTGTTGGACAGGGTTGTGAGAAATTAGCAATTTGCTGCCTTGTTGTCGCAAAAGAGATTCATCTTGGAGTTAGGAGCAAAACCAATCTCAGTCATCAGCCTTTTGCTTCTTGCTTCACGAAGACCTTTAGCGTAAAAGTTCATAAAAAGATCTTTAGCCATTTCACGAAATTCGGCTTCGGCACTAGAAAGTGCCACCACCTTTTGCTTCTTGCTTCTCCAGGTAACTAGGTTGCCTCCTACAATAGTGAAGTAGCCTGAAGTCGATTTTGTTATAGATAGGTTTTCGAGATAGGTAATTTCGTGTTTAACCTGTTCGGAACGTGTTCGGATATGATGCTAGATTTAATATTAATATAATATAATTAAGCCCAAAACTTAATTAATTTAGGCTCAAAACGGACCCAACTCCAAACCAAACATTTCCAAAGTCCAAAGGGCAAGGTCACGGTCCGAGCAGGCGGCGCGCGTGTGGCTTTGTACTTAAGCCTGCACTTGATTATACCTCTAGCTATCCACTTGACACTATTTAAATTGTTCTCATTAATGCTATTTTCCTAATGTGGGATAGATGACTTTTCACCTTCCACCAAGCCCTTTGAGCTCACTTTAGCTCATTGAAATACTTACTTTGTGCATTTATTTCTCATTCATTCCATATTGGATTTGAGTAATTAAACACACTACAATTATCTACTCGAAGCGTAGATTATGTTTTCATTATTTATTCCTTGAAACAATCACGGAATTTTACTTCAATATTTTCCAAATTTGAGGTGAACACCTCAATTTTCCAACAGATTTTCTATCGGAAATACTCCCGCCCAACTAGCATCTGTGTGGCCATCGATCCTTAGATGATTATTCTTGGAGAACATAATGCCTTTGCTAGGAGAAGATTTTAGATAACGTAGAATTCGAATGACCGATTCCATATGGTCTTTACTTTGAAGGTGCATGAATAACATACACAATGTGTGGGCGTGCATGTGATAGGTAAATAAGTTTTCCAACTAATTGTTGCTACCTCTCTTTGTTGGCTGGTACAATGGTTTGAGCACTCTCCAAGCCTATGGTTATGTGCGTCGGTGTATCAACTTGCAATCCAACAAACCTACTTCAGATAACAAATCCAGTGCATATTTTCTTTGGAAAAGTACTTTAGTCGGCCTCCAAGATTCTTCATTTCAAATTCGGTTGCTAGTTGCTTTTGGAGTCTAGAGATTTCTTCAAAGTCATCCCTCTCTAGATTTCTTCAACATCTAGAGAGTATCTATTTGGTGCATTGCTTCTATTATTTATGTATATCTTTATTATTATGTATTTCTTTATTCTTTATTTAAAAGAACCTATACTTAATTTGATTATCAATTTCTTAACAATTTTTCAATTTAATTGTTTACTAAAATTTTAATAATATTTTAATTTTTAAACAATCAAATTAAAAAGAAAATATATCTTATATAATGTATATATATATAAATACATTTTGAGGAACAATTTTGTCATTTCACGTCTAAAAATAAGTCACTAGTTGCGCATTCAGCGAGAGAGGCACACAAAAGTCAAACAGGGGATATCTACCTTTAACTTAATTTCACAGGGTTTTTTTTTTTTGCTAGTTTATTTATTACATGGTTCTTTTTGCTATTAAGAGATTACACATAGTTACTTTTTGATGTTTACTCGTATTGAAAATAACAAAATAAAAAGAATCATATAAGTATTTAATTATAGTGATTTTGTAACTTTAAACAAAAAAATGAGTAACAATAAATAATGTGCTAAAACGATAAGCAAACCCTAATTAGTTAAGATGTTGATTCTCGCTTCGAGTTAGCCATGCAGAGTTTCTCGTAACCCATGTGTATCTGTCCGTGAAATTATAATGAAGTAATTAATATCTCGTATAATCTCTCTCTCTCTCTCTCTCTCTCTCTCTCTCTCTCTCTCTCTCTCTCTCTCTCTCTCTCTCTCTCTCTCTAAGTAGCATTTCCTTCTTTATGTTACCTCCATCTTATTATCTAGACTTTTTCAATTAATTCTTACATTTGAAAGAAAAAAAAAACCTTCAATTACCTCAACATGTTATAATAAGAGAAATTCTTAGAATTCTCACATACAAAAAGAAAATTATAATCATACAATAACATTTATTTTATTGATCCATGCTTAACTTGTTAGTGATTTTCCTCAACATCTCTCTTTTTCCCTTGATGGAACTAGATTCTATACAATTTTTTTTTTGAAGTACATTCCTTTTGAATTATTTTTTCCTTAACTATAAACGATTTTCTTTCTTCTTTTTGTAGACTGAGATGGTTGAACAAAGAATGTTCTTGAATTAAGTATGATATTAAGTTGGATTTTTAGATTGGTGTATCTGAATTGCTCGTGGAGGAGGATCTATTGGTCCTCTTGAGAAAGAAAAACATTTTCATAAGGGAAATAGGAAAATCGAACTGATTTATACAAAAGCAGAGGTAGCTACATTCATATGAATATGTTCCGACTGAATTTGAGGTGTCAGAAACATTCTGGTACTTTAGAATGTTCTTAACACGTCAAATTCGGTCTCAGGAGAAAAAGCTGACAAGAAAGTAAATGTAGTGACAAGTCACAAGACGGGACTAATTCATATGAACGCGACTCGTTTTTATCATCAATCTAGTTATTTTTCCTTTTCTATCCCTTACATAAATTTATAAATTTTTGTTTGTTGAAATTCGTAAAGGAATAAGTATACTTGCGTTAGCGTTTGTGCGTAGATTTTAGGGTTTACGACCGCCAGCGATCGATATGGCAACCGATCTATCGGCCGTCACAGCTGATATTTAGAAAACTAATTTTGCTAAGCAATGTAATGATCTTTAATAGTGAGGGAATGTTGTCTGGAAATCCGATAGCTGAATCTTAAAAAAAAAGAATTAAAAAAAAGAATCATGCAACTATGCAGTATTTACATAAAATTTTAATTATAAGTTGTTCCCTAAGCATTCCTAACGATTAAGTAATTCATGAATGAAGAAACTTCTTTTAGGATATTCTTGACATATAAATATTGAGACACAATCAAACTTTATAAGTAATTTTTAGATAAAGTTGATAATACTATGCTTTACATGGGTCAAGTTGTGGAAACAATGCCTAAAATGAGTGTTTTTTAATATTGTGAACAAGTCGAATATTTCTGATTCTCATCCATTTTTTATATATTTCAAAAAATAGGAAATCATAATATTTTTTTTATGACAAGATTGGAAATTTTAAGATCGTATATAGGCATAATTCGAAAACTTATTTATGATCTCTACCCCTAGATAATTCTAACTCTTACATGTCCAAAATATTTATAGGAGATTCAAATTAACGTTAATTCCGGTTATCTCCGATCAATTAACATTAGTTTCTTTCGGAGGCGACGTGGACTCAATCAAATTAAGTCTATTGTATGCATTTATTAAGATTCTTGAGCAAAAAAAACCTCATCGCTAGCCAAAATCTATATATAGTAACAATAAAAAAAGTTTGCTAAACGACAAGCAAACTTCAAGTACATATGTTGATTTTCGCTCTGAGTTTGTCATGCAAGTTTTCTCGTTGCCCATGTATATCCGTCTGATGAACTCCGTTGGCCGATTTCATGAGTTATCTATTGGTGACCGTTCTGTGAATTTAGTTGATAGATCTCGCGTATAATCACACCCTTTCTCGAAGTATGCATTTCTTCCTTGTATTATTTAAACCTTTTCAATTATCTCTCTCTAATTACGTCTTTTCTAATTTTTCTGTTCACGCAACTCCAAAATTAAGAAAAACAAATGAAAAAATATTCATAATAATTTGTTTCTGTTTACTATATAAGAAAATGTTTGCATATGGTTTTTATAAGAAGAGATCAAAATCATATAGAATTTCTGATATATACTAAAGGAAAATAATATAGAATCTCTTATTAAAAAATATATCAATTTTAGAGCGAAGACCAAAAACCTAGGTCACCGACACAAATTAGACAAACTCAGCCCAGTGGGCCTGTGTTCAGGTGTACTTTCACTTTAAATTTCTAGGGTTTTACGTCACTTTCTCTCTCTATAAAAATGACCGAATATATCTCTCTCTGTTGTCTGTACCCTGCGCAGCTGCTGTGTCCGAGTTTTCCGACAACAATGGCTATGTCCGCGTGGGCGTTTGAATCTCTCCACTGCCTAAGGCCGCCACCTGAACCTCCGCCGCCCGAGGTCTGCCCCTTCACTTCCGATATATATGGTTTTTCCTTTCAGATCCGTCTTATTTTTCTTGCATGCAAAAATTGGATTGAGGTTATTTATTCTAGTGTGTGTGTGTGTGTGTGTCTATATATATATATATGGATTTAATTACGAATTTAATGGATAGGATCCGTACATGTATTGGATCTGTATATACACCATTTTTTTTTTCCGTCTTCATTTCTTGATTAGTTTTGCTTGCATACAGCAGGGATTGAATTTTTTATTATATATATATATATATATATATATATATATATATATATATATATATATGATGTAATTAAAATGTTTGATTTGTGGATTTCTGTTCTAAGCCACATTGATTAAGTCAATTTATTGATTAATAATGATTCTGAAACTATTAATTAAACGATGAAATCAAGATCTTAGTAACAGATCCTCTTATTTCTTTCTTTTAAATTTTTTTA